GTCTTTAGGCTAATGCAGACATCATCCAGTCTAGTAGGAGACACAGAGGCTGGACTCTTGACTGTTAAACAGCTAGCCTATGAGAATGCTAATGCAGTATTCCAGACCGCCCTAAGGCCTTACAGAAAGAAAGTGACATAGATGAGTTTATTCAAATTTGTTCAGATATTGAACCCTCATACACTCAGGGCTTAGATGGCTGCTGTATTACAAAGGATTTTAGTTAAGGATATGTTATTCCAACAAAAAAAAATCAAGGCTCACAGAGAAAGAAGGCCCCAAGACCTTCTAGAAGTTACTTTGGATGTGGTCAGAAAAGGCACCAGGTCAGGCAGCGTCCTAACAGAGAAGTAAAAAAAGGAAAGCCCTGGGCAAATGAATGCAAATCTAAAAAGGACGCTCAAGGGAATCTGCAGGGAAACTACCGGGGGGGGGAGGCTGCCTCCTCTGGGGGCCATCCAGCAGCTGCTCTCCCCACGGGAATCCATCCAGGACCTCTGCAGAGCGCCACAGGAAGCGTCAGTCTGGACCTCTGCTCAACCACCAACAGGGTTTTAACCCCAGAGATGGGGATGCAAGCCCCTCCCACTGGTGCTTATGGGCCTTTGCCAAAAGGCACTGTAGGATTGTTACTAGGAAGAAGTAGCACCACTATGCGGGGAATCTTGGTTGCTCCTGGAGTGATTGATGCTGATTTTTGAGGGAGAAATCAAGGTTATGGATCATTCTCCAGGTGGAATTTCTCTGGTAAAGTCAGGCCAGAGACTCAAACAATTGATTTTACTTCCCCAAGTGCAAACAAAGAACCAGGTTAAGAGGGATAAGAGAGGAAAATCTGGGTTTGGTTCATGTGATACCTAGTGGCTACAAGCCACAGGTTCACAGTGCCCAGAAATCACTTTATATATAAATGGCAAGAGCTTTTCTGACCTCCAGGATACTGGCACAGGTGAGTCTGTTATCACAGCCGGTCAATGGCCTTCAACATGGCTGAAGACAGGAACCATTACACAGCTGCAAGGAATTTGCCAGACTCAGAGTACTGAACAAAGTAGCAATGAACTTGCCTCAAAAGAATGAAGAAGTTCATGAAGGGACTTTTCGACCATACACTGTTCCTCATTTACCTGTAAATTTATGGGGTGGAGACGCTATGGCCCTAATGGGGGTAAATTTACATAGTCCCAATGCAGTTGTTGCTAATCAAATGTTCCAACTGGGATTGTTGCCCAGAGCAGGATTAGGGTATTTTTTAACAGAGGTCACTGAGAAATCTACCCTGTATGCAGACCCTATTATTTGGAAAAGTGATGAGTCAGTGGTCTCTATCAGAAGAAAAAAATACAAGCTGCTCAGCAGTTGGTGCAGGAACAGCTGGATGGTGGTCATACTGTGCCTTCTAATTCCCCATGGAATTCTTGTATTTTTGTGGTTAAAAAGAAATTGGGAAAATGGAGATTGATACAAGATTTGAGAAAAGTTAATGCACCTAATGGGAACTTTACAGCCAGGATTGCCTATTCCTGCAGGCATACCAAAAGATACCAATAAGATTATTTTAGACTTAAAGGATTGTTTTTATACTATCCCTTTGGCTACCCAAGACTGTCATAGACATGCATTTAGTGTTCCATCAGTTAATTTCAAGGAGCCCGTGAGGAGGTACCACTGGAAGGCCTTGCCCCCAGAGTATGGCTAAGAGCACAACATTGTGCCAGAAGTTTGTGGCTCAAGCTATAGAAATTATCAGAGATTAATTTCTGCAGGTTTACATTGCTCATTATATGGATGATATTTTACTTGCCCACAAGAGTGAAGAAGTTTTTCTTGTAACATATGGACAGCTACAGCAGAACCTTGCCAGAGCAGGGTTAGTAATTGTCCCTGAAAGGGTACAGAGACAACCACCTTTTCAGTATTTGGGACATATGTTATATCCTAAAGAAATTAAGTCTCAAATTGGAAATTAGGAAAGATAGCTTTCAATCTTTGAGTGACTTTCAGAAGTTATTGGGAAATATTCCATTGTTTCAACCTTATTTAAAAGCATCTACTAGAGATTTGAAACCTTTAAGCAACATTCTAAAAGGGGACAGTGATCTGACTTCACTTAGACAGCTTACTAAAGAAGGTAGGCAAGTTCTCTTGCAGGTTGAAAATTCTATCCAGCATCAGCAAATATGCTATATTGACCGCAAAACCATGGGAAGTTTATATACTTCCTACACAGTATAGTCCAATTGTTGTCTTATGGCAAGGGGGACCATTATTATGGTTGCACCTACCTGTTTCCCCAGCCAATGTGTTAAATCTTATTATGAAGCAGTAGTTTATATGATAAGAAATGCTTTATGGAATCTAGGAGATATTTTGGCAGAGAACCAAATTTAATACATGTTCCGTATACCAAACAACAAGGTGATTGACTATTTCAAAACAATGATTCTTGGGCAATTGGTTTTGTTCAATTTTTGGTTCAAATTGATAATCAGTTTCCAGCTGATAGACTTGCAATTTGCACAAATGCATCCTTTTTATTCCCTAAAGTTTTAAGGAGAGATCCTATAAAAATACTATGTTAGCTTTTAATTATGGTTCTTCTAATAGAAAAGCAGCCTATGTTATTGATGGTAAAGAGTATTTAGTACAACCAACTCCAGCTTCAGCTCAAATAGTCAGAGTAACAGCTGTTGCAATAGTTTTTCAGCTTCTTGTGAATAATTCATTTAATTCATATACTCATAATCATTGTGTTTTTTAAACCTCTTCAAGCAATAGAGACAGTTCTGTGCATTGGAGCTAGTAATGGTCAGGTTAGAATACTGTTTCAGCAAATTCAAAATGCCATTCATCAAAGAACATCACCATGCTTTTGGGTCATGTAAGGGCTCATTCAAACCTTCCTGGTCCACTGGCTGAAGGTAACAAGTCAGCTGATAGATTAACAAAGATGGTTGCTTTATCCCAGGTAGAACTGGCTCAGCAGTCACATACCTTTCATCATCAAAATAGCAAAAGTCAAAGAAAACAATTTGGTTTAACAAGAGAAACTGCTTGTCAAATTGTCAAACAATATGCTGGGTGCCCACAATATTTACCTATGACTAATTTAGGAGTAAATCCTTGAGGCTTGTTTCCTAATCATTTATGGCAAATGGATATTACTCATATTGCAGAATTTGGCAAATTAGAATATGTGCACATGATAGTCGATACATATTCAGGCTTCTTAATGGTCCCTGAACAAACTGGAGAAGCCACTAAGCATGTGGTAATTCATTGCTTTAAAATGCTCTGCTTACATGGGAATTCCTAAAATTATAAAAACCAGACAATGGATCTCAATATATTAGTAAAGCATTTCAGCAATTTTGTTTCCAATGGAAAACTGAACACAACACAGGCATTCCCCATAATCCTAAGGACAAGAAATTGGGGAATATGCCCATAGTTCCTTGAAAACACAACCTCAAAAAATAAGGGGAGTTGTACCCCCAGTCTTCACATAATGCATTAAATCATGCGCTCATCATTTTAAGTTTTCTGTATATGGGTGCCTGTGAGCAATCTGCTGCAGGTAGATTCTGGCATGATGGCATTTGTGCAACTTTTGCTCAAGCCAAGTGGAAAGATCCTTGCACTAGATTATGGAAAGGACCCGATCCTGTTTTAACATGGGGTTGAGGGCATGTTTGTGTTTTCTTGCAGGAAGAAAACAAGGCCCAATGGCTGCCAGAATGGGGGTGAGGTGTGTGGAGCAGAGGAATGATGATCCTGGGACTGCTGGAGCCCCTTCCCCTGCAAACTAATTCGATTGAGGGCAAGTGGACCGCAGACCTGCTCACACTGTATAATGGGCAGTGCGTGTCTATCACATACCAGCTTTAAGTACCGTACTATCTCATTTAGTCCTCATTGCACCTCAGTGAGTATGCTTCCATAGTTCCCTTCATTTAACAGAAGAGGATATCGACAGAGAAGTTAAGTGACTGTCACACAGACCGTACAGGACAAATGATGTGTCCAAAGCTTTTTGTTTTAGAAGAAATGAGGAAAATGATGCCTAGGGAAGTCTAAGAGCTATTTTCTTAAATTGCTAATTGAAAAGAAGGATTTGTTTATTTGTTTATTTATTGTATGTGTGTGAGCCTGAGTGAGTTTTTGTGCACCTTGTGTGTGCAAGAGCCTGCAGAGTCAAGAAAAGAACATTTGAAACTGGATTAACAGGCAGCTGTGAACTACCACACGGGCGCAGGAACCGAACTAAGGTCCTTAGCCAAAGTAGTGCATATTTTAACCCATGAGCCACTTTTCAGGCATCCTGACAGCTGTCTTTATGTTGGAAGAGTTGGCCAATGGAAAAGACGATTGTTGTGTGGATACTCAAAAGGAAGTAAGTGACCTTGAGAGGCGTCCAGGCTCCGTTGAAGGAGTGGGGGCTGGAGAGGTTTGCAAAGAGAGTTGGCATTGGATCACTTAGATTGGTCACCCTCAAGGACCCCGAAGGCCTTGATGTGATTGAGATGAATCACTCTCTGGCTGCATCGGGTGGCACTCTGATAAGTGGTAATGGCGAATGAAACCCAGGTTGGTAGCATTACAGAGACAAGCACATACAGACGGAAGGGTTGATTCAATTGTTAAGAAGTCTGATGATCTTAAACTCCATGCATTATATCTTGTGAGGTACTGCAAGTGAGGAATTTGAAGGCTTCAAACACAAAGACGCATGTTACATAATATAAGGACATAGAAATACTAACACCTTGATTCAGTCATTATAAAAAATAAAGGCAACGGCAGAGGAAGTGCAGAGCAGTGTTAGAGGGGTCCAGATCTAGAGCAGATGTGCTCCAATGTCACTCCCACACATGTGACCTTGGCAAGGGGGTTACCCTTATCAGGCTTGTTTCCTCCCCTGTAAGCTGCTGTGTTAAAAATCAAACTCTCCCAGTTTTCACCTTGTGACTATGTAACTGTGAGAGTATAGTACAAACCTAGAACATGACAAGCAACAGATATTTATTATCATTTTTCCAAAGAACATCTACAAAGTTAAGACAGTCAAATTCTATAAAAGGAAAATAACTTTTTGCTAATTGTCACACATTGCTACATTGTTGAGAAAAAGAGGAAAATGGACAGTGTCAGTGTACAACACAAATGTGAATCGAGAAAGTAGGAGAGCAAGATGAACTTGAACTCTGACTTCTGAAAAGATATTCCAGGGTTCACCTGTTTTATTTTAATCAACATTTCATTAAGCATTGGTGATTGTGTTTAGCATGATACTAAATAAAGAAGAATGTAGCAGCATGTTATATGATTCTTGATGACCAGGAGTTTATAATCTAGCTATGTGTGGTTATAAAGATGTACTTACCAATTCTAGGACCTTAAAGCAAAAATCATCTTTGATTTCAATAATCCTGCCATCACTCATAACAGTTTTGGCATCTCTTCTACAATAGAGCTCACTAGAAAAAAGCATACTGATTGCTAGTACAGAGCCTTCTCCCTCTTCCTCAAGCATCTAGCGTAGATGCCTGAATTATTCACTAAGGTAGCTTCTCGCTGACTTCTGATTATTTAAGAATGTCAAATCCACCACGACAGCCAACTCTAGACTTCTGATGACCTTCTCATGGATGCTCTGTGACATTACTAGTCAGAGAGTACATGGGGAGGGGGCCTGGTCCAGGTGTCTCCATATCGCCACAGCATCTGGTGAGAGTGCTCAGGAGGGAGGTGTTGCTTGAACTTAAGGGAGAGAAGCTCATCGATGCTCAGCATCTGGAAGAACAAGGCAGGCTGAGGACAGCAGCAAGGAGGACAGGACTTGAGGCCATTTCTTTCCCGTCTGTCATTATTTCAGACTTTTCTCTCATTGCTTCTTATGCATCAGGCTTTGATAGTGAAGGACAGAAAGGCCTGCCTGAAGCTGGCAGCAGATTCTCCCAGTATTCCCGTCTAGCCCTGGGTTTGGAAAAGATGCAGCAGTAAGTAAAACATCCACACTCATTTTATGAACTGTGTGTGTGTGTGTGTGTGTGTGTGTGTGTGTGTGTGTGTGTGTTAGATTTGGAGAAGAGGGGAAGGGAGGGAGAAATGGGGGGAGGGACAGAGGGAAGGAGGGAGGGATCAGACTAAAGTAGAACTTTTGTTTCAACACACAGTCAGAAGATCTCTGTATATGAACACCAGTGGCTTTTTCACAACTTTTGTAAGTGGCACACATGTATACATGTGTGTATACATGCTCATGGGCATATGCGCGTGTATATATATATATATACAGAGGTCAGCTGTCTCCCTCAGTTGCCCTATATCTTATCTTTTGAGACAGAGTCTTTTCATAAATATGAAACTCACAAATGTGGGCATCCACCAGTCTCCCCAGTCCCGGGGCTGCAGATGTTCGCTACAGATGTGCACTGCTGCACTTCGCTTTCTTTTCGGGTTCCGGGGATGTGAACTCAGGTTCTCACTACTTTCCTGGCATGCCAGCTACTGACTGAGCCATCTCCCCAGGCCGGTCTCCATACTGTTATCCTCTTACTGACCACTAGGCTTCAAGACCACCTTTGAGAACAATGTATTTCTGTTGTAGGAGTTTTTGTTACTATTAATTACATTTCATCCTGAAGCATCCAGCAGAATGGTCCAGACTCTACTCAGTATCTTAGTGAACTGAGAGTTTATGGAGACAGTTTTAAATGTAAGGAGGCAAAGAATAATTCTTCAACAAATTAACCAAGAACAGACTGCAAAAGACATTGTCAGGCTTTGTTCCTTGTTGTGTGACAAAAAAAAAAAGAATATAGGATTCCTGGTCACAGACTTTGGTGTTAAATATATTCTTACTGTTTCCCTCACTTTACTTAGGAAACTTATGAGAAAGGTTAATATTTATATGGTGTAATGTCAGAACTCATGGTTTATAATAACCCCCATGAGTCACAACTTTCTATAAACATTGGTTTGGAAGTTCAGTGTGCAAAAGGTACTTTGGTTTTTAGACTGATGTTTTGATCCTATTTCCCAATACTTTCAAGGATGCACCAATGATGACAACTAAAATAAGCTGTTTCCACTTATTTAACTTGAAATCATCACCAAAGCCTCCTTCCTTTGTTGCTAAATTACATTTAATCCACATTTATGGATTACACCTGTGAAAATCATCTTCTCTGACAGACACCCATAGAAAAGTCTGGCAATGATTCCTTGTCTTCAAATCTCACCAAGATGGAGTAAACAGGGAGCCATGAGAAGGTGACCCAAATCATGCCCAGTTTCTAGATAATGTAAAGGAGATGGCATTGTATTGATAGATATGGGGAATGAGAGAACATACAGATATGTAGGAAAACAGAACAAGGTTCATAGGGCGCTGAGAGAAATATCTTCAATGATAAAGAGATCGTAGCTAGGCGGTGGTGGCGCATGCGTTTAATCACAGCACTTAGGAGGCAGAGGCAGGCAGATCTCTGTGAGTTCAAGGCTAGCTTGGTCTACATAGCAAGGGCTGTTACACAGAGAAACCCTGTCTCAAAGAACAAAGAAACAAAAAAAAGTGACTGTAACATATAGTATAATTTAGAATTAGGAAGAACTCAGGGAAGATGGAGGCCTGTGATTTTTTCTTTCAACCGTGAAAGAGGAAGCTAATTAGAAATTAACCTAGAAAACCAGATATTACACAAGCACAAAGAATGTCAATCTAATCATGAAACTAATTTGCATCTGGTGAGAATTTGGATGACTGATGAACTATAAGAGGGGAGTGTAAAGGGAAGCCTTCCTTGAGAGAAGCCTTCCCACCAGCCTAGCTCCAGAGCCGCATCAGTCCCAAATAAACACACAGGAGGCTATATTAATTATGAAGCTGTTGGCCTTGCTTGTTTCTTACTGGCTAGCTCTGACTTAAGTATTTACCCCATAATTATTAATCTAAGTATTTCTCCTTCCGGAGAGGTTTCCGGGCTTCCTACCCCATGGCGGTTACATCTCGACTTCCTGTGTTTCTCCTACCCAGAATCCTCCTTGACTCCTAGTCCCACCTATTTTGCTTCCCTATTGGCCAATAGTGCTTTATTGACATATACACAGGACTTCCCCCATCAGGGGAGAATTGAGTCATGAGGGTGGAGCCCTAGTTAACGAGACTAGTGGCCTTATCAAAGATGCTTCAGAGAGCTTGCCTTGACCCTTCTATTATGAGAGCCCTGTCGTGGGATATTTGTACACTGTGAATAGGTGTTGCTGTGATTGGTTTAATAAAGAGCTGAATGGTCAATAGCTAGGCAGGAGGTATAAGATAAGAGGAACTTCAAGGCAGAGAGAAAGGCTTCGGAGAGACTCCAATGAGACATGGGAGGAGTTGGACACACAGAGTGAGAGAAAGGCAAAAAGTCACAATACAAAATGTAGATTAATATAAATGGACTCATTTAAGTTATAAGAGCTAGTGAGACAAGCCTAAGCTATCATAATTAATAGTAAGTCTCCATGTGGTTATTTGGGAGCTGGCTGGCAGGACAGAGAAAGATTTATTACAGAGTCCCAGCGAAAAGCCACTATCTTTGAGAAAGTAGACCTTCATTGAACACTGCATGTACTGGCAGCTTGGTTTTGGACTTCAGAACTCTATGAGAAACACATTTGTGGTTTGTTTGTTTTGAGATAGGGTCTCATTCTGTAGCTGGTCTGGTCTGCAGCTTGCTGTGTAGAGATGAGGCTGGACTCGCACTCACAGAAAACCTGCATGCCTTTGTTTGATGTGTGCTCTGGCTAAGATACAGGGCACCACTCCTGGCCCTAAACTTCTGCTGTTTCTGGGCCATGCAGTTGATGGTATTTTGTTTCAGTAGCCAGAGTAGCCAGGACTCCCTGGGAATGGGGCAGGGGCAGCCTGCTTTCCTCCTATACGCCTTTCGCGCTTGTGTTCTCATTGCCTTGTATGTGCATCATGTTTACAGCGATACACAGAGCAGGTTAGAGCAAGTGTGAGTGTGACATAAAAGCAGCCCCACCTGGCTCTGATCCAGGGTTTGGTGTGCATGTTCAGACCACTTCCCCAGCTGCCATGTTTGTCCGAAGCCGGAGGCAAAAATCCCCTTTCTGGGGCCAGCTCCTCTGCAATCGCCCTGATGTGGTAGGGCTCAAATCCGCAGCAGCCGCCAATGTACCTGACCCCCAGGTTGTAGGCTTCTCTGGCGTACTTTTGAATATCCCACCTGGTGGCAACTCTGGGCTCCAGGCCTGGAATACAAAGGTTTTGACACTTCCGTTAGCGCTCTGCTGTGGTTTGGAGGAGGAATGTGCCCCATAGGCCTATGCGTTTGAACACTTGGTCCTCTGCTGTGGACTGGAGATGTGCAGCTCTCGCTAGAGGTGGGCCTTGAGGTTTGGTAGGCGCTTCGGCTTTCTGTCTTCAGCTACCAGCTATCCCCCACTTCTGCGGCCACGCCTCACCACCATGGTGGACTGCATCCCCTTGACTCTGAGCAGCCCTTAAGTTGCTTCTCATCAGGAATTTCATGAAAACAACCAGAAAAGCGACTAATGAAGCGCCCATTTTCAAATGACAGATTCTCCATGGTTGGCTGTCTCCCCCACCCTCACCCCAGTTAAAATCAAACTAATGTAAGTGCTAGAATGATCGTGCATCCTGTAGGTAGCTTCTGCTTGGTTAACACTGAAAGATTTTTTTCTTACATGGCCTTATATTATAAAACTGTATCAATTTAGTCACAGTAGGAAACATAAGGGACAGGCTATGGGAACACATGACTTTAATCCCTACACTCAAGAGGCAGAGGCAGGTAGATCTCTACAAGTTCAAGGCTAGCCTAGTCTACAGACCGAGGCCTAGGACAACCAAGGTTACACAAAGAAACCCTAACATTGTTTTTTTTAACAAATGAAACAAGCCATAAGGGACTTTACATGCATCTGAGCTTACCGAAGGGATATTCTGGGAGGTCCACAAACCCTCCCTTGCCGCAGTCAGGTGTGTGGAAGCCCAGGCATTGCACCATCAGGTGAGCTTGTAGGCCAGAATCCCCGAGGCCCTCCTTCATGAGCTTCATGGTCTGCAAGCTGGTCTGGGGCCCAAATCGGCAGTTGACCCCAATGATGTCCGCTCCTGTGCAAGACAATAAGGAGTCATTACAATGTACGGTGGATTCATCTGTTTGTTGTTCTCTCTGTAATAGTTTGAAGCTGAACTGTTTGTAGTGCAAGCCTGTCATTAGAGTATCTGAGAGCAGGAAGGTCACAAATTCAACACTAGCATGGGCTACATTGATTAGATGCGATACAATTTCATTCCAAATCAACCAACCAATCGACAAATCAATCAACTTAGAAGCTAGCTTGGAGATTAGCTACCCTAGGAGTTATAGACAAGGGAATTTCCTTCTTGTTCTTTAAACTTTGCCGCATTGTGTAAGCAGCCACTGGGCTGCCCATTTCATCAAGGGCCACATTACCTGCCTGTGCCAGCTTGACTGCACATTCTCCAGGTGTCACGTCATGCATGTCCCCCTCTGGGCCGATGCACATGGTCACAGCCACAGGCTTCCCTGCTTCTCTCAAGACGTCCACAGCCCACACAGCTTCTTCCACATGCTCAAAATACTAGGAGATAGCACTTTTTAAAATTGACCTCAAGTTAAATAAATTTTTGAATGCTAAAGCACAAATGCTAGAAAACTGTTGTAAAAGATATCTAATCTATAATATGTGATGCAGCTTGCTGAGGGATGTGTCTCTAACAGGTTATGTCAATAGCTTTCTGAGTAAAAATGTGAATTCTGTTAGTGAGACTATCTGGATGTTTATTTGGGCATCAGCATTTGGTGACATGGTGACTGTTAGTAAAACAAAAATCATACCATTTAAAGGTTTTGTGTGTGTGTGTGTGTGTGTGTGTGTGTGTGTAAACAGGCAATAGTGACTTATGCCTTTGATCCCAGCCCTCCTGAGGCAGAGTGCTGGGATTAAAGGTGTGTGCCACCACAGCCTGGTTTCTTTCTTCACTACAGAAGGAAATTCTGCAGAAGCCCGTTGAGGAATGAAAAAAGATGATCAAGAAAAGCTCTGGGAACAATGGCACCGTGTTCCCACCCAGCACGAGAACACTTAGGCCAGTGTTCGTGGAATCTGCAGTGAGGAGCAGACAGCCTTGGATAGCAGAGTAGTGATGGGGAGAAGAGCTGAGCTGAGTGAGGGCTTGATCCCAGGCAGGAGCAATGGGGAAGAGAAGGGAGAGAGTGCCCTTGATGTCCAGTCGGCGGCCAGCTGTTGTGGCTTAGGTATGAAATGTCCCCCAATATGTTCATGTGGTGAAGGCTTGGAACTCAGCTGGTGGAGCCAAGCACTGGGAAGGGATTGGACCACAGAGCTCTGACTTCATCATCCGCTTAGATGTGGACGGATTCATAATGGAAGAATCTTTGGGAAGTAGCGGTCTGGTGGAGGAAGTGGGTGCTGGAGGTGTCCCTTTGAAGGCCATCTGTCTCTGGCTCCTTCCTTCTGCCCCCTCCTTTTCCTAGTGGCCTTGTCCTCCCTCCTTCATGCTCTGCCTGGTGACCTGGAGCAGCTGGCTGGGGACTGAACCTCCAAAACCAGGAGCCCAAGTGATTTTTTTCTTCTCTTAAGTGGATTTTCTCAGGCATATGTCTCAGCGGCAGCAACAACAACAACAACAAATCTGACTTAACATGTCAATCCTTTAAAATGCCGTTGACAGGTGATCTGCTGAGGAATAGCAGAGAGGCAGTGAGAAAGGCCAGGGTGGAGAAGCAGTTACTCACTGCTAAGTGTTGCCCGTGAGGCTCTGGTGAACCTGAGAGCCTATCTGCCTGGAGGCTATGCTCTACAAACCCCCCCCCCCCCGTCTCTCTTTGGGAGGGGATATGTCCCAAGTCACTGTCTTCTGCTTCTTATCTCAAAGTACAATCTTGTAAATCTCAGAAAGCGAAACCCATGTTGAGGCATGCTGTGGGTCCATCCCCTGCTCACAGGGAGCCCGGCATGCAGCTGCCCGAGCCTTGCCTGGAATGGAGTAGTTAACCTAAACCTCTGACCGTCCACAGGGAGGAAATGAGTACAGAGAACAGCCCTGTCCAGTTCCTCTAAGACCAGCCTTACCTCTGCAATCAAGAAGTCCACATTCTTCCTGGCAAACACTTCTAGCTGCCGTCGAAAAAGGGCTTTAATTCTAGTCTTGTCCTTGTGGTATTTGTACAGTGATGTCTGGCAGAGGCCCCCTGCCACCAAAGCATTCCCTCCATCAGCCACCTCCCTGGCGAGGTCACAGGCAGCCGCGTTTACATCTTCCCACTGAGAACAAGAGCAGACACATGAGCCTGCTGTCTTAGATGAAAAATAAAACGAGTCACAGAGGGAGCAACGAGCAAGTCGGTCCTGCAAACTGCAATTCAAGAGGAGTTGAGCATAGTCATCTGTTACCAGTGACTCCAGTGTGTGTGTGTGTGTGTGTCTGTGTGTGTGTGTGTGTCTGTGTGTGTGTGTATGGGGGGATGCATGTACTTGTGGAGGTCAGAACTCAATACCACATGTCTTCTTCCATTGCTCTCCATGTTATTTTTTGAGACAAGGTCTCTCAATGAGTCTGGATCTCACTGATTTAGTTAGATAGTTGGCTAAAGAGCTCCAGGGAATCTGCCTGCCTCTGTCCACTCCCAAGCCTAGTGATGGGGTTATAGACATTCACCAATGTACTTGCCTTTTACATGGGTTCTGGGAATCCAAAAATCCAAACTCAGTTTCTGTACTTCTGTAGCAAATACTTTATAGATTGAGCCATCTTCCCAGCCCCACCAGTGACTTTATACTTCCATTTCTGTTATTATGCACACTGAATTTTTAAAACATAAATTTAGACTAATTGTGAAGTACAGTGGCTCACTCCTTTATTATTATTATTATTATTATTATATTACTATGTGTATGGGTATTTTGTCTGCATGAATGTCTATGCTCCATATGTGTGCCCGTGTATGGGTATTTTACCTGCGTGTATGTCTGTACACCATGATGTTCCTTACACTCTTGGATGCCAGAAGGGAGTATCAGATCACCAGGGGTTAGAGTTACAGACAGTTGTGAGCTGCCATGTGGGTGCTGGGAATTGAACCCGGATCCTCTGGAAGAGCAGCTGGTGCTCTTAACTGCTGAGCTGTCTTCAGTCCCACCACACTAGATTTTAATAACTGCATTCCTTCCCCTCTCATTCAGATCATTAGCTTCTTCAGAAGAGGGTCAAAACCTCTTGTCGTGGTTTGAATGTAATTGGCCCCCAAATGCTCATAGGCAGTAGCACTATTGGGGGTGTGCCCTTGTTGAAGTAGGTGTGGCCTTGTTGAAGGAAGCGTGCCACTTTTGGAGGCAGGCTTTGAGGTCTTTCTTGCTTACGCTTTGCTCAGACAGTTGACTTCCTGTTGTCTTCTGATCAAGATGTAGCCAGCACTGTGTCTGCCTGCACACTGACGTGCTCTCCGCCATGATGATGATGGACTAAACCTCTGCAATTGTAAGCCGCCACCTCAATTAAGTGTTTTCTTTATAAGAGTTGCTAAGGTCATGGTGTCTCTTCAGCAATAGAAACCGTAACTAAGACACCTCTTTTTTTTTATGTCATCTTTCTGCTTAGCACTGAGAGCCCATGGATGTAACCATGAACACAGCACATATTGGTTCTCATGAAGAGTGGGCTTCTTGAACACGAACACTCGTAATCACCAGCTGTCATCAACAGTTGGCTTTGCAAATGTTTCCCTATCCTTCATCTCCTCTCTTCTTCCTGGTGGGTCTAAGCATAGCACTGTTTATTACTTTTTTCAGAGCTGAAGCCAACGCGCCATGCCGGGCTGTTCTTACATGAAGCCACTTAGGCAGTAGACAGCAAAATTGGGTATCAAGCCTGATTTCTGTCATTTGTAGTCCTAAGTTCCCAAGATCCTCCTGTCTCCGGACAGATAAGGCTATAAAAGAGCAATACAGACTGAGGGGATTAAAAATGATCTAGCCTAATGTTTTTTTTCTCCACAAAACACCTCTAAAGGGATGGTTCACCCTCTCAACTGCCTGTTCTATCTGATCTTGTCATCTTCCACCTAAATCGATGCCATTTTGTGTGGTGATTTCAAAGAAAATGGTGCCCAAAGGTAGAAGCACTATTCGGAGCTGTAGCCTTGTTGGAGGAAGTATGCCACTGTGAGGGTGGGGCTCTGAGGTCTCTTTTGCTCAAGCTTCCCTCAGTGTGGCAGTCAGTCAGCTTCCTGTTGCCTGCAAGGTGTAGCACTCTCAGCTCCAACACCACGTCTGCCTGCGCGCCGCCATGCTCCCTGTCGACGATGATGACAGTGAACTGAACCTCTGAAACTGTAAGCCACCCCAATTAAATGCTTGCTTTGTTAGAGTTGCCATGGCCATGGTGTCTCTTCACAGCAGTGAAAACCCTGAGACATTCTGTTTCATACGCATGCCTGTGGAGTCGTCACAGACGTTGGATGCGATCTGGCAGCCAAGCGCAGTAACACAGGAGCCCAGTTCCCCTCCTCCCAGGAGAAGGCTGTGCTCCTTGTAGCTGCTCTCCACCCGCACCCCAGTCACCTTGCTTTCCATATTGTCCTCAGTGGCAGAAAAGGTGAACGTCTGCAAGACATCAGCTCCCGCTCGCAGGAATTCTGTGTGGAGCTGACGCACTGCCAAGCAATTGAAATTGCAATTACAAATCAAATTCCAGAAGCTTATGTTCTCGATAGCAGCTCCCCGCCTTCCTTCCCTCCCCACCAGACCCAGTGTCAAACCTAGAACTGACAAAGCTACCAATTAAAGTCAGTAGTGTGACAGGGCAGCATGCTCTATGGAGCATCCCACGGGGTTCTCGAGTGGATCCCATGCAGAGACTAAAGCCTGGCTAGCTCCGTGTCCTCTCATCCCTTGCCTGGAGTTATTCACGCAGCAATGTGTGAAGGATGCCACTGGGCTGGCCTGTCATCACCATTGTGGGAAGAGTGAAGAAGCTCACACAGAGATAAGCAGTCCTGTGTATGACACCAACAGCAGCTGATTCAACAGCAAGGATGGCAAGCAGCGCTGGCTGCACCTAGCCTTTCAGAATGTCAACTTCCAGGGTGGGAATGTAGCTCAGTTTGCAGAATGCTCCCTTAGCACGAATAAAGCCCTGGGTTGGATCCTCAGCACCCCCTAAAGCAGGTGTGATCTTAGCACTCAGGTGGGGTAGGGGATCAGAAGTTATCCTTAGCTACATAGCTAGTTTGAGGCCACCTAGGATGTCTGAGACCCTGTCTTAAAAAAAAACAAAAAGGGAAGAAAAGAAAGTTCCCTTTCCCACCATCACCCCTTCCTGGCTAGTTCAACACATTCAGTTTAGCTGAAAGATCTTCCAAAATTCAGAAAAAGAATTCCCAAGAGGCAGCAGAGAAACAAAGCTATTCTGTCCCCCATGGAAAGCAGCTGTCAGGGCAATCTCAGGAAATAGCATTAATGGTCTCAGGGCTCTTATGATGCCTGGGCAGTTCATGGAGGCAAACCCACCTGTCCTCACTGCTGGCCCATGTCCTGCCCCATTTGACAGAAAAAGGAGCAGATTCTCAAGAGGTCAAGGGATTTATCTAAGGTCTAATGGTGTGTGTGTGTCACACAGCTGGCCTGGGGAAGAACCAAGCAAGGATCTCGGCCTCATCTGTGGCCTGATCTCCCCTCTTATTCCTTGGTCTTAGCCCCTGACTCTAGGAAAGCAAGAGAAATCAATAAAGTCAGGTATAGTTAAAGCACCATTGCGATGTCACCATCTAATTGCAACGGTTTCTACTTCCAAATCCTTTATTTTCATTTTTCCCCCAAGTCAGGAAGATGAAGGGAGGTTATTCCTTTCTCGGCACTCTGGTCCTCACAGCCTGGTTGTCTGCTTCATTAAGGCGGTGATGGCCATCAGCCATTATCACCATGGCCATGGTTTTTATCTATGTTGCACAACCTTCAGCAATTAATGATTTTTACTAACTTAAGAAAACTCTTGAATAGTTACAAGGGAGATTTCCAAGGAATTAACAGTGAGCTGGATAATTTTTTTAATGCTTGTTCAAGGAAATATGAGTGCAGAGAGGGAGAGGCAGAGAGAAAGGGAGGGATGGAGGGAGCGAGGGGGAGAGAGAGAGACAGAGAGACAGAGAGATTGTTGGTTTTGCAAGGGAAGCAGTCCTTAGGAAGTGTTTGCTGCTGTCCCTGGATTTTCTCTCACTGGCTTTGGAGCTAACTGTTACTTGCAGACATACCTCTGGGTGGTGTGGGCACTCACCTGCACTGGGATGCTCTACCACTGCTTCTGGAGTCCAGAGCCCCGCCTTCACGAAGCCTCTCTTCTCCAGAGTGAGGAGAAAGCTGCCATCACCAACCACGACCTCCCCGTTGTCCAGACGCTCCAAAATGCCCTGGGAAGAGACCGAAGACTCTCCACACCCTGCTTTCCTTTTAAGTCATTTCTGATTTGAGGAATGTTGGTCTTTCTTGTGTTCTTTCAGGCAGTAGTTCTGCTAAAATTATGTCTAGGTATAAGCAGACACTGCAGCGTGATTCCTGGCCACCTAAGGGGTACTTTTATCTCAATTAACACTTTGTGGGTCAGACTACACTGAAAGCACTACTGAACCTGATAGTCATTTTTGTTTTCCATGTTCTAATGTATTACAGGTTGGGGCGGGGGTAAAATATCTCCAACTTAAACAAACAAACACCTAAACTTGCAAGCTCCCTGGCTGCTGGGCATGGCCTTGTTACACCACTGGCCAACAAGACAAGTGGAAGCCATCTTTTTTCTCTTTCCCCTCCTAACTGGAATGTAGTCATGACACCTAGGTGTAGAGCCATCTTGGAGTCCTGCCTCTGTCAGCGGCATTCAAGGTCACAGGGAACCAACTGGTAGAATGGTTTCTCATAACCACAACGGGTATGTGTGGCTGGCTTGCCTTTACATCTTGTGGGGTGAGAGATGCACATCACTCCCTTAGAGTTAACCAACTTGAGAATCAGTCTTCACAGCGCACATCAGCCAGTCCTTGAGGGGAAAACCGTTACTCCAGTGTTCTAACTTGGGTCCCCTTTTCTTGATTGTAAAGCATTTCATGGATCCACCCCCCCCCTACTGTGGCAGCCATTGGGTTCCAGTCGATCATAACTCCCCTGCAGCTCTCTTCACTGGTCCTTCTCTTACCTGTTAGTGCCCTTCCTTGCGCCCTGACAACTTCAGGACCTCCGCCCATGTCCAGCAGTGTCTGGTCATTATGTCTCACTTTGATGACGGATGTGTGGGGTGGGTGACACACCTTATTTGTCTATAACCCTCCCACCTCTACTAGCATCTGATGAAGAGGAGAGCCTTAAAGAACTGTGCTTACAGAGACAGCAGAGGTACAGAACAGTTCTGGGAACACCAGACACACCACAAGGGTAGCTGTGTCCTGAGAAGCAAAACCAGGCACATTTCCATCAAGAATTAGGAGGCTTTCAAAGAAACCATAATGCAGATTTTGACTGCACCTTTGTGAAGAAGGTTAGGTCAGACATTTTCCTGCAACTGGCTCTGTAGACCAGGCTGGCCTTGAACTCATAGAGATCCATCTGCCTCTGCCTTCAGAGTGTTGGGACTAAAGGCGTGCCCCACTACCGGAAATTTATGTTAAATATTATGTGTGGGGCTGGAGAGATGGCTCAGCGGTTAAGAGCACTGACTGCTCTTCCAGAGGATCTGGGTTCAATTCCCAGCAACCACATGGTGGCTCACAGCCATCTATGATGAGACCTGGTGCCCTCTTCCGGCCTGCAGGGCACATGCAGGCAGAATACTGTACACACAATAAATAGACAAGTCTTTTTTTTAATGGTGTGTGTGTGTGTGTGTGTTACGAGTTTGTGCACGTGTGCATGTGTGTGCGGTGACCTGAGGCCAAAGGGCATCACATTCCCCGGACCTGATTACAGGTGGTCGTGAGCTACCTAACATGGGTGCTGGGACTGAGCTCAGGTTCTCTGGAAGAGCAGCAAGGGCCCCTGACTGCTGAACTGCGCCTCAAGCCCGTTGCCCAACATTTTAAATCCTCCATTCTTCTTTATCGTCATTATCAAAGTAACTAGATTATGGAAACTTGAACTCACAGCAGCCTAGCCCATCCCTCTGCGTTGTCTCCACCACCTCACTGACTTTTAACGACAGCTTATGTGAAAAGGATGGGGAGAGCCCAGTGGGGAGGGCATGAATTCAGGTGCAACAGGCTTGCTTTCTTCATCCATTCTCCATTTTTGGCAGTGCCTGACCTGCTGATCTGATGCTGAGGGCCTGGGGTTCCTTTGCACCCCCCTTTGGAAGAGCACAACCCGAAACCCCTGGATTTACTCTCTGGGCTCAGGGAGAGACTGTTGATCCTCAGGAAAGGCCATTTGCCCCGTGGCAGGTGGGACACAGACTCAATTAGTCTAAAAGAGCCCCATCTGCTCATTTCACTGGAGGTTGGGTGGGTGGTACAGGAGGCATCCTCTGTGGTTTGAGGAATGGGGTGGGAATTTCAGCTATTCAAATACCCAGCAGTAGTCAAAGGCACTGGTGAACTGTGCCTGCCAGCTGAGGACAGACAGGGCCCTACTTCTCTTCCAGGTAGACATTAACAGGGACCAGTATGTGAAAATATGCTGCTTTGGGAGCAGAGTCCAGAGGAAAGGGCACAGAATGTTTTCAAAACTTTAACAAAAAAGGAGTCAGGGTCTCACCATGTAGCCCAGGGTAGCCTGGAACTTACTATGTAAACCAAGCTAGCCTCAAACTCAGAGAGTAAAGGCATGTATCACTACACTGGCTGAATAAGACTTTATTATGATGATTATTATTTATTTACATGTACAATGTGTATATATGCCATATCTGAGGATAGGGCTATCCTCTGGAGCTGGAGTTACAAGCAGTTGTAAGCTGCCTGATGTGAGTGCTGGGAATTGAACTCTGGTCCTCTGCAAGAACAATACATGTCCTTAACCACTGAGCCATCTCTCCAGCCCATAAAATCTTTTTAAAAAAGTGAACAGTCAGGAGTGGGAGTGCAGCCTTTAATCCCAGCACTCGGGAGGCAGAGGCAGTCGGATCTCTGCGAGTTTGAGGCCAGACTAGTAAGTAGGGCGTTCCAGGATAGCCAGGGTTCCAGAGAGAAACCATGATTGAAGATAAAAAAGTCCTCTAGAAATAAAAGTTAGAGTTAAAAGGTGAACTATGGGCTGGCAAGATGATTTAGTAGGCAAAGGTGCCTGCTGCACACATGATGGCTGAGTTCAACTCCCAACAGCGTTTAATCCCTGGGCCATTGGTAGAGGAAGAGTACCACTTTCTGCAAACTGTCCTCTGATCTCATGGGTGCACCCTAGTGTGCACGTGCCCACACATGTACACACTACGTAAGTGCATACACAAATGCAATAAATTCATTTTAAGAATTGAATTTTAAAAATGAATATAGCATTACAGATGGTCAGTCGAATGAAGGCAGCACAATGATTTTTTTTTTTTAACCTTTAAAAGGAGTCTTTTTGTTTTGTTTGGAGTTTTGGTTTTTCCAGACAGGGTTTCTCTGTGTAGCTCTGGCTGTCCTAGAACTCACTTTGTAATCCAGGCTGGCTTTGAACTCACAGAGATCTGCCTACCTCTACCTCCCAAGTGCTGAGACTAAAGGCGTGCGCCACCACACCCGGCAAGTCTTTTTGATACTCTCATTTCTTACCTACATTTTAACTTTTGTCATTTAGAAGAACATGTCTTAGCACACTATGAAACCCAGGCTCCCATTTCTGTGTGGGGCCCTGACCAGTGCTCTGCCGGTGTGTCTGTGACTGCTGTCACACACTTTGGGGTGTGTCTGTGACTAGTGTTGCACACTTATGACTGCCGTTGCACACTCAGGGTGTGTCTGTGATTTATAACGGCACCATTACTCTCATTCTCTGTCACTGGGAGCTGTTAATGGCTGACTAACAGCACGGCAAGATATTGAACCTGGACTTCACTCGACCCTAGCGTAGGTCACCTCTGTCCCCAGTTTTGTAACATTCGTAGAGTAGAGGAGCCTCTCCTGCCCCAGAACTCTGAATTGAGTCCAGGTGGGCTATTCTGGGGGGTCCCGGGAGTCCCCTCTTCCAACTTCACACCTTTCTGGTTGTTTGGGATCCCTTGCTTGGGATCCCACAAGTCCTCAGTGCTGTGGGAATGAAGCCCACATCTGGAGAAGGGCCAGATGTGGGACTGCCTTCTGAAGTCAACAGAGGCAACTCCCACGCCTGCGCCTGGGAACTACATGGTGTCCTTGCTTCACAAGGACAGGTGTGAAGACACAGGGCCTGGGGCTTCAAAAACCAGAGGGACACTGACAGGAACCCCCGGGGCTACTGAATGCACAAAATGAGGGTCCCCTGAGTCCACAAACTTGACCCCATTTCCCTCCTCTGTCCCGAATGCGACCACGACTCTGAGCAAGTCACCTGACTCTTGGGCCTCTGTTTTCTCACCCGCTAACTGGGGATACCAGCAGCTGCAGATACTCTGGGCTGGGTGAAAGCTCCATGGTCTAATTCACCCGGAGTCGTGCTAACAAAACCCTAGGAGTTTGACTGAAGCAGGATTCGAACTCCCTGGGAAAAGAACGCCTGAGCCACACTTACCTTCTTGGCCCGCGGGCCTCCGACTGGTTCCATGTCTCCGCGAGTGTGCAGGCGCGGATCCCGGTGGCACCGGTCCCGGAGACGCCCGGTGCCCGAGCCCGCCCCTTGGTAGGAGGACCAGTGCCCCCTCCCAGTCCTTCCCTCCCAGCACGCTGCCTCCCGCCTAAGGTCGCTGTTCCTGCTCGTCGGTGCTCGGCCTCCCCTCCACCATGCTCCGCCTGGGCGCGCTGCCGCTGCGGGGTCTCGTGCTCCGGGGCTCCCCTGGGCGTCCAAGCTCCACCGGCCGCCGGGAAGGGTGAGTGCTCGCCGCCTGCAGGTGGAAAAGAGTAGCCCATGCTGGCTCTCAGGCCTCCCAGGAAACCGGCTAGGGTCCTCCTGGGATCACCTGCACCTACCAGGGAAAACTCAGTCTCTCTGGCCCCAAACCTGCCCGGTCAGCAGTGGGCAGTGTGTGGATGTTTGTACGCCAATAGCTGGAAGCTGTTGTCTCCGATTCACTGGCACCTTGATGTGGTTGTTACCATGGTTTTGTTTTCAATGATTACTACATCTTCAAGATTATTCTATTTCAGGGAGTATTGATTTGCCTTATTCTTTTTAATAGCTGCATAGTTTTTCATTTGATCAATATTCTGTAATATAATTAAGCAGCCCACTCATTAACAATTAGACAGGTTAAGTTGGTAGCGCAGCAAACATAAACCTCACATTTTTAACACATTTGTGTTTGGGCAAATATGAGAGTCTGGTTTTGTTTTTTTAAATCTTTTTTTTTTTTTTAAGAAAAAAAAAGTCAGGGAAAGGGTTAGGTCATTTAAAAGATCAAAAGACAGCAACGAAGTTGCCTAAAGATAGTGAGATTCAGATGGTCCTGGGCTGGGGGTAGGGGAGTGGTCTCTTGTCTTCCGTGACTCCTAGAGTAGGGTTATGAAACCGCATTTTCCTGTAGTATCTGTATGGTAAAAGAGCAGGACAACGTCTTTCACTTTCTTGTCCTGATGCTACTCCTGATGTCATCCACGATGGCAAGGTGAGGTTTCTAGTCACAAAGTCACTCAACAAACATTGTTATGAGCTTTGTATTTTACATCCTATGGTGTGCAAGGACTGCTTTTGAATAGAATCCAGCTGTCATTTCATCGGCAGATGTTTACGTGGAGCCTGTGTGTGGAGTGCGGGCTTGTTCCTGGTTCTAGGAATACAAGGCCCACAGAACAGCCGTTCTGGCTCCATCAGACACAGCAGCTGCTGGCCGAGCACAGCTTCCTCATCAGCAAAGATAGGATGCTAATTCCGCTCTGCCTGGCTTTCAGGCGTGCAGCAAACCCTAAGCGAAGGACTGCACAAGAAAATGTGTGAGCTGTAAAAGCATGTGGGAAACTGCATCTCACACGGAAGTACAAAGGTGTTGTTAATTTGTTTAAAGCAGCTTAGACAAGTCCAGTGTAACATTAAAGTATTTATGTACTATTATGTACATGGGGTTGTTCATATGCATATTTATACATTCTGAAATGTTGAGGGTCACCAGAGATGGGTGTGCTGGCAAAAGCCTCCGGAGGCTGAGGCAGGATGTCAACCTCAAAGTCATCACAGGCTGTGGAAGATATATAGTGAAACCTTGTCTCAAAACCAAACTGAAACAGCAACAAAAAAGAGAGTTCTATGAGTTCTTTCTATAGTTTTACAACTTTTCTGTCAGTCTGAAATTGTGTGTCTGACTACAGAGTCACACCCCATGCTGTTAAACGTGTGCAGAAAATACGAGTTTTGTCTGACAGATTTTTGAAGATTAGAATTTAGATATAGAGAGGTGCAACAATTTTGTCTTCATCAGACAGACAAACACAGTTTTCCCTAATAAGGTGTAATTAGACAAATGCAGCAGTTACTATCATGTCAGTCCAAGAGAAGGTTCCAGCCTGCTTTTTTCTTCTCACTTTAAAATTGATTCTTGAGCTGTTGATGGTGGCACACACCTTTAGTCCCAGAACTCAGGAGGCAGAGGTATGCAGATCTCTGAGTTTGAGGCCAGCCTGGTCTACAGATCAAGTGTGTGGGGGGGTATATACAGAGAAACCATGCCTTGAAAAAATAAAACAAAACCTTGTCTTTAAAATGACAATTTTTGGTTTGGTGTCACCAAATATACCATGGAATCTCTTCCCAGAATTCTTATTAATTCATACTGTGACTTTCTGTGTTAGACACCAATAGAATAAAGAGACTGGTGACCAGGAAAGAAAGCAAGAACTAAGGAATTAATAGATCACATTCTTTGGTCATGTTTCACAGGATTAACTGAGTGCCCTTTGTGTCCTGAGTCTCCAAGCCAGGTATATCCTTGAGGCCCCTCCACATGAGCTTCAGTGGCCTTTGAGAGCCCAGCCCCTCCCTGTGCTGACTGCCCACAACCGCCCTGCAGCCTGCGAGCCTTCACGCCCCCCCCCCCAGCTTCCTTCATCCACCTTGATCCACCACATCACACCTTCCTCTGACGGATGCTCCTGTAACCCGGACCTCCCTTCAAAGAGTGCTTCATTGCTGTGGTGGCCACATTTTTAGTTTTGCTTGCTTGGTCTCCTGGGTCTGCTACAAGCTTCAGAGCTCCAAGGCCTTGTATGTCCAGCCCCACACACAGCAGGGATGAAGGAAGCACTTGATAAACAAGAGAGGAAATACTCTGAAGGAAATATGACAGTGACAAACAAGCCCCTCTACCCTAAGAGCAATGCCAATGCTAGAATGACATCCTTCAGGGACTTGTGTAAGGAAACCATGCAGTTTAAGGCTGAGAATAAGCCATGAAAATGATCGGATGTGTTTACCGGACATTCATATTGGATGTGGGCATTGGGAGAGGGCTGAGATCAGTGACAGATATGATATTGTCCCTGCCTTCAAAATGCTCCCGGTGCAGCCAGGAAGACCATCCTACAAACTGAGGACTGGAGATGCCAGAAGAGGAGGATACTTCCCACCCATCACCCTTCAGCCTGGGGAGCGCTAGAGAGAAGAGGATGCATAGGTGCCAAGCTACGGGAAGATTAGGGCTTTTCTAAGACTAAAATCAATAGGAGAGAGAGAGAGAGAGAGTGTGTGTGTGTAGGGGGGGGCATGTGCATATCAGAGGATGGGTGCCTTCTTCGATTGCTCTCCAATTTGTTTTTTGAGACAGAGTCTCTCACTGATTAGGCCAGGAAGGCTGGTCAGAAAGACCCCCAGGACCCTCTTTGCTACACCAGAGCTGAGATCACAGGTGGACGCCACATGCCGACTTTGTTTGCAGGGATCCTGGGGATCGAGCTCGGGCCTCTTGCTTGCATAGCCAGCACCTTCCCATCTGAGGCCAGGCCCAGAATGTGGGGTTTGGGTTTTTGCTTGTTTTTGGTTTTGTTTTGATTTTTGTTTGTCTGTTTGTTGAGACAGAGTTTCTCTATGTAGCCCTAACTGTCTTGAAACTAACTCTGTAGACCAGGCTGGCCTTGAGCTCGCAGAGATCTGCCTGCCTCTGCTTCCTGAGTGCTGAGATTAAAGGCGTGCGCCACCACCAACCGGCCCAGAATGTGGTTTTTAAATGAGAAAAGAGATGTCTACATTGAGGAAGAAGCAGCCGCTGCCACCTGCTACTGCTCATTTCCCGAGCCCCATTAGGTGCAGGCCGCCTAGTCAGGGTTCAGATGCCCCAGGTTTCTAAGTGCAAATTGCAGCCCGTAGGTGGGAAGTTCTAGAGACAGGCAAGCAAGGGAATCAGACGCAAACTGGACCTGCTATCTGCAAATGAGTCACCACTGCTAAAACACTGTCTTCCAGACAGGAAAGCCCACCCTCACATCCAGAATGGAAGGACAAAGCAGAGACCGTGATCATTGGAGGTGGCTGTGTGGGCGTGAGTCTGGCTTATCATCTGGCCAAGGCTGGAATGAAAGATGTGGTCCTGCTGGAGAAGTCCGAGCTCACGGCTGGCTCTACCTGGCACGCAGTAAGGAGATCACCCCAAAGTGTACCATGTATGCCCCCAACTGTGCACCAGTTCCTCCAATTCACCGCTCCTACAGAGAGCTCTCCAGAGTGTGGGATCCCTCACCTCACCAGAAAGTGTACTGTCAGTTGACTGGGGTAGGAAATCGTTATCTGGATATCCTTTATGTTGAACATGCAGATTCTGGATTCTGATTCTGACTGTGCCCTTTTCCACCCTGGTAACTTCCAGAAAGTTCCTTCAGTTTCCATTTTCTGATGCATCCCATTTTGTGAGTTGTTCTAGTTGAAGCAGCATGGCAGAGCTGCACTAGGGATGGCCTTGGATTGACGTGGCTCCCATATTGCCCAGTGGTTACTCCTGAGTCAGTGAGGGATGGGGAAGGAAGATTCTATGATTGGCAATGCACTGTGCTCTCTCTCTATCGCTATATCTCTCTATATATTTGGAATACACAGACAGACACACACATATAACACATATATACACACTATTGCTGTGATGAAACACCATGACCAAAAGCAACTTGGGGAGGAAAGGGTTTATTTCACTCAGTTTCTTAGAACAGTTCATCATCAAAAGCACTTGGGCAGGAACTCAAGCAGGACAGGAACGTGGAACTGATGCATTGGCCATGGAGGAACGGGGCTTACTGACTTGCTCCTCAAGCCTTGCTCAGCATGCTTTCTTACAGAACTCAGGACCAGGGATGGCACCACCCACCATTCACAATAGGCTGCACTGCCCCATGTCAATCACCAATTAAGAACCTGGCCTGTAGGCTTGCATATCGGCCCATCTTATGGAGGCATTTTCTCAATCGAGGCTCCCCCCTCTATAGCTTGCGTCAAGCTGACAGGAAACTAGCCAGCACCACGTACATTTTGTTATCACGCAAGACAGAAGGATTGTGCTAGGGCACCGTGGTCGGTCCCAGAAGGGAACAAAACAAGCAGCCCTTTCCTCCTGGAGCTAGTCTTGGGCACAGAAAGCACTCAGAGTGGGACCTGAGCCTTGAAGAAAAGAGAGACTTGGTAATGATTCTAGAATGCAGGAGGAACTGTTGGGGAGGCAAGTACAAGAGAAGAGACTACACAGAGTGGGAAGCAGGCGACAAGGGACCTAAGGGGCTTGAGGTTAGCCAGGCAAGAACATTTAGGCAGAGGCAAACTGAGGTGAGCGGTGCTTATACTGCCTCACACTTCCTGACTGTTAGGTGGGGCAGGCGGATGCACATTAAATGGAATGCCTTGTTTGTTCATGGACAGTGCTTTGCTGTGACTTGCATTTCAGAGTAGACTACGGGATTCTCTGAGATTTCTCTGGCTGTCCCACCAATACAAGACACATCCTTAGCCTGAACTCTTTAAGACAAGCAGGCACAGATTATAAGATAATATCCCTAATGTGAAGTTAACTGTGTAAAATGTTTGTCCCTAAAAGACACCAAAATAGTGGGGAAAGCATCCCCTACCCCTATTGGCAAAGCATCAAGCCAGAGCCAAATGGGGAACTCGTTGTGGAGTTAGACAGCAGCAGCTCGGTGAATTGTGCCCCTTTGGAATAAGGGACTGGGCAGGACCTGCCCTAGGAACTGGTTCTGGGAGCTTTTACAAGTCCACGAGCCTTCTCCGTAAGGAATGACATCCCCAAGTTCCACATGCCAAGAATTTTAAATCCAGACATAACTGGGTACAGATTGGGAGTGTGCGAAGTCGGAGCACCTGCTAAATGGACAGACTGAAAATGAAAGCAGCTTCCCTGGAGATCCCTGGAGTTTGATGTGTTGTCTGTGATGGAAATACCCACAATGTACAGGAAAAGAGGGATGGAGGATGTCATAGCCTGAGACGGGATGTTCAAAGTGCAGCCAAGTCTGCAGATCCCAAGGTCTTGCTCAGTACACAAGGAACAGCATCATAACTGGTTTTGGAGAGTAGGATCCTCCACTTCCTGAGGGTGACGTCACAGCATAATCTTAAGAGATCCCAGGATGGAAGACCCAAGGTGGAAGATATTCTAGAACTTTCCACTTATTTACATTCACAAGAAAGAAATTAAACTTTACTAACATGAGTAGCATCTGACGTGACTGACGTATTGCTTAAGATCCCCCAGGTTCTCTGGGGGCAGGTTGGCTCTGCACAGTGGGCTCATCTGGGCTCTTTCTTTGATTGCTATGTGAAGCCATCATTGTGACTGGCTTTACTTAGCCTTTTAGTAGAGTGTGTGAAGGAAAAGGAGGTTGGTAGTGTTGCACTATGAAAAGACTTGTTACCTGGCAGTGGTGATAAGGGTTGTGAAAATTAAACATGTTTCTTTTACAAATAGGCAAGTGTTCCAAATGTGTTGATCTTTGGTAATCCAAATGGATATGGGTGGTTTCTATCTAGCAGCTATATAGGTTTTCAAAGCTATGTCTTAGAGTGTGGCTTAATGGTGGACTGCTTATCTAGGAGCACTAGAAAAAAAATAGGTGCAGCTTATTCCTTCCAAGCAAGGGTGATGGAGGGAGGTAGCTGGTTTGCAAAGCAGCCCTGCTGGGAGGAGAGCTTGCTAAAAAGGGATAGTTAGAAATGGGGATATTGTGGTTAGATTTTCTAGATGTTTCTCCTTTGTGAGACCATTTTTAACCTGTTAAGATTTTTTTCTGGTAAGGAAGTCCAGTAGGATTTTTTCCCATCATACTTTCCAAGTTGTAGGAGGAACAGAGAGACAAGAGACCATGGTAGTCAACAGTCACCAGGAGCCTTTGTATAGGCCAGCGCAGTAACAGGTGCCTGAAGTGGAGGATGGGGTTTAAGACACAGATAACATGGCCGAGAGAACACGGTTTCCACTGGGGTCTATGCACGTCTTCTGCTGCCTTAGCCTCTGAAATCAGTCTCAAGCATAGGAGGCCTAAGAAGAAAGCTGCGGTTAATCCTACTTGCCAGTTCTAGGATCGCCAAGAAGACAAACATCAGCACACATCTGTGAGGGAGTTGCTCAACTGTGTTAGTCACTGTGGGAGGACCCTCTGACTGTGGGGAGCACCATGCCAGGGTTCCAGCTGAATACAAAGGCAAAGGAGCACTCAGACCCAGCATCCACCTCTCTCTACTTCCTGAGGGCAGATGCCGCCTTCCCCTCTGCTCCATGCCTTCCCCACCACGATGGGTGTCACCTGCAGACTGCAAGGCATAATAAACCTTTTCGTCCTCAAATGGCTTCTCGCCTGGTATTCACTCACAACAATGAGAAAGGAAACTAACGCCTGGGAAGATTGAAAGTTGAATGGGAGACTGCTAAAAACGAAAAGGAATTAAAACAAACCAAGCAACCAACCATCCTGGGTGGAAAGCCGGCCTAGAATCAGGCTGTACTTTCAATCCAGTGTGTACACAGCTCAGTAATGAAGTACATTAATCACAACACTCTACTGAAAACGTGGTTCATGGGCTTAACATTCAAAAGCTTTCTGGCACAATAAGTAAGATGAAATTTATATAAGATACTCCACTCACCCCAAGCTCATTTAGTGTGTGCTTTACGATCTCTATTAATGCAGTAACCTATATTTGCATGTCATGTGTAAATAAAGGCACAAGAATATTCTGGTGGTTATGTACAGCATTCTAACTGAGCAAACGTATGGATAAAGGATGTGGAACCACTGGAGTATATGATGACTTAGGCCAGTGGCCGGGTTTTCTGAGGCAGTAAAGGCCCCTGAAAGACAGGAAAACATGTTAGATAGACTAGGGGTTCACACGGTAAGTTAGCATCCAGCACACTCCCTATTGCTTAGCACCCTTTGACTGCCTAACTCCTGCAGTTTTTATTACTTGGTAATTGTCATTGCACTATAGGGAAGAGTGTTCCTTTCTTGTTATTTTAAATTTATGTCAACAAGAATTTGCAAATTCTGCACTTACTAAAAGGTAGGTGTGTGTGTGTGTGTGTGTGTGTGTGTGTGTGTGTGTTTGAGACAGGGTCTCATGTAGCACAGATTGGCCTTGAACACCCTGTGTGGCCAAGGATGACCTTGGACTCCTGATCCTCCTGCTTCTACTTCACTACACTGGGATTGCAGCCCACGCCACACCCCTGTCCAAAGGGCTATACTTCTAAAGGATTCTGTCTCAGTCTTTTTCCCTTTACCTTCTCTACCAACTGCTATTGTTTTCTTTTTTCCAGGCCAAGGGTCTCTTGCTGTGAAGACTTCTCTCACCTTACCAGTGTTGGGAGTCTTAACTAACGAGCCAACTCTTCAGCCCCCTTACTTTTTATGTCCCCTCCTCTATGGCCTGACATTTAACCATGTGCCTGAAGGCTAAGACCAGTGTTTTCTCCTTTCTGACTTTTCACTTACTACATCCACATGGAAGTCACAGAAGAGACTTCCCAGATGTCACAAAACAGTTGTTTAATCAGTAGTAGACAATATACAAGAAGATTCAAGTGACCTGAATGCAGTAGAAGTATGGTAGGGATAAGTCTAAATTTTAAACACAAGTTAAAAAACAAAAGTCAACACAAGAAACTGCTAACCAGTTATAGCTAGGAAAAACCCACTCGCTTACTCCTGACTGTCCCAGCAACTACGAATAGAGAGATGCATGGACTCCTCCTAGGTGGATATTCTCTTTCAGTAAGGAATTTAGCTTCTTTCTTGGGCATGCATTTCCAAAAGAATTTGTTCCCTAAACAAAGTACTGAGTGTCTTTTATGAGCTCATGTGATTCTTTCAAATGAAAATTCATTAGCCCCTTGTTTCTGGGGTAGGGGAACAAAGGATAGTGTATAGGTGGATGTAGATAATGGAACTTTCTGGTGGCCTGGTACGGAAGTTTGAGTAGGAATTGCCCCCTATTCGAGCTCATATATTAGAATGTTTGGTCATTACAGAATAGTGCTACTTGAGGGGGATTAGGAGGTGTGGCCTTGTTGAAGTAGGTGTGTCTTTGTGGGAGGAAGTGTGTCACTAGGGTGAGCTTTGGAGTTTCAAAAGCTCAAGCCAGGCCCAGAGTCTCTCTCCCTGCGGCCTGAGGATCCAGATGTAGAACTCTCAGCTACCATGTCTGCTGGTGTGCCGCCATGCTCCCTGCCATGATGACAATGGACTAAACCTCTGAACTGTAAGCCAGCCCCAATTAAATGCTTCCCTTTATGAGAGTTGCAGTGGTCACAGTGTCTCTTCACAGCAACAGAACAGAGACTAAGACACCTGAACTCACACAGGGATGTGGCTTACAGGTTCTCCAGGATCAGAGCTCTGGCCAGGACTCAGGAGCATTTGTCTTCTCAATCGATGGGCAGAAGATGTATTGAAGACAGAATTGGGGTCACTGGTAGATACCTGAAGGCCAGGGATGCTCCCTGATTGAACGGCGAAAGTTCATACAAACACTGAATATCAAACGTGAAAGGAAAAGAGTGACTTGGCCATGTTTCTAAACCCCGGTGGAAGTTCTTCTGCAGCGGAGACGATTCTCTACTCTCCCCAGAGCAGTGCTACAAGATGGCTTCGGAGCTGGATGGGATTTTTGTCAGAAGCATCACTTGTGTGTGTGTGTGTGACACTTCGACAAGCTTAGATGGAAGCATTGAGCTTCTGGTTTCTAAACGGTGGTTGACTGACTTTAATGGGAATAGTTTTGAGTTCCAGAGAATCAGATTCCCATGGGAGAAAGTTATAAATATTCCTAAACGGATTTGTGTTTGAACAGATTGTGTTCTGATGAGCTCCCCAAGATAAATTAGCTGAAAAATGAGACCCCAGATACTTAATTAAGAAAACTCTTGCTTTATGTAATTGCCTAGAATTCTTGGTCTGGATGCTGCATTGCATCTCTCAGAGTTGGTGCAAGGGGCTACAACATTTCTAATATTTATACATCTTTTCCAAAGAACAATTAATCAGTATTTGTTCAACAAATATGTGTAGGTGCTGCCTATTTGGAGTTATTTGGAATACAATATATTATAATGTACCTATAAGATGTCTAGGAAACAAATGTGTTTCTTTTTTTATTGACCTGGGTTCTCATAACGAGGCATTATTTTGCTTACATGAATATCCAAACTTTAAAAATTCAACCCCCAGCAATTAATTAGTTAATGTGTGTGTGTGTGTGTGCGCGTGTGCGCGCGCGCGCGCACGCGCACACACTTGTTCAGTCATGAATACGAGAGAATAATTTGCAGGACTTTGTCCTCTCTTATTACCCAGTGGGCTCTGGGGATCCTAGGGATGGAACTCATCAGGCATGGTGGGAGGTACTTTTACCCACTGAGCCATTTCCCTGGTCTTGAAATTCAAAACACTTCTGGTCCCGTGCATTTCAGATGAAAAACAATCAACCACAGCATATGTTCTAAACCTTCCACCTAACTGGCTCCATTTTACCCTTTTCCTAGTGATGTTTAGGTTCTTCATGGCCGTGTCTGCGGCCTGGCTCTTACTCTGCTTGTATGGTTGAAGTTGATTCAGATACCATGTGATGAGCCATCTGCTCTGGGGTCTCCAACCGCTGCCAATGTGTTCTTTCTTCCATCCCTCCTATACTTCTTCATGTCTCAGGAGCACCAAATTGCTGTTTGCAAGAAGTTATCGACATTGTGCAAATGCCAACACTTATTTCAGTATTTTCTTCCCTCCCTATTTTAAGGCAGGTTTAACAACTTACTTTCACCCTGGGATAAACTTGAAGAAAATACACTATGACAGCATCAAACTTTACGAGAAGCTGGAAGAAGAAACTGGACAGGTAAACCACTGAGTTTGAAGTTGTCTGTGAGGTCAGCCAATTAGATATCACAGTTGTCTGTGGTAGAGAGAGAGAAAGGCTAAGGTATGAACCTGGGTTGATTTTAACATCTCTTTAATTTCTTCAAGCGTATTATCTATGTAATTAACTATTCTTCATTTTTAAAGGAAGAGATTATTATAAATATGTAGCAACTTTTCAAACTTTGCTTAGTCAGTTCTCAAGCTAGAAAATATCAAGTCAGAGCACTTCAGCAAGTGGACTGCACAGGCTCTGATGGCGAGCTGACTGCCACATGGCTTTAGAAACAGCACTCTAAGCCCCAATCCTTGTCTTTTTTCCGTTTCCTTTCTTTATGTTTATCCCTTCTCATATTGACTGTACCCACAAAATAAAAGGTTTCCATGGGCTAAGGTCAAGGCTTCTGAATGTCTTCATGCATTTATTCTTGATGAAGAACGCTAAACTATCCCCCAGCCCCCCACCAGAGTCTTCAGGATCAAGACCACAGACTTAGGCTCTGAGGCTCACAGCCTTCATGGCTTGGTTTTCCAATATTCTCTCTTGCCTCTATTTCCTTTGCTTGTGTGCTTTACATGTTCTCAACAGTGCATAATTCTGGAATGTTCTGGGTGCTCTCACACCTCTGCTTTCTAAATTTGTGTTGTTTTCTTCCTACCTGTTCTGACTGGAACCACTTTCCCCTCACCCTACACAGATGACCAACCAACTCCTCATGCTTCTAACACACTGTGTGTGTACACACTGTTGTGACACACAGCGCATGTGCATGCTTCCCGACACACAGTGTGTGTGCATACTGTTCTAACACACTGTCCCACTGTCATTGTTACTTTATTGTTGGTCTTCCCTGCAGAGCGTAACACCTTGAAGACCAGGACTGCCTTGGTGACCCAGGGCTTCACCAAGACTTTTCAAATGGAAAGACTTTGAGAAGTGCCAAATGACTCTCACCACAGTAGTGCGCTAGTTGTAGCAGCATGCTGGTTGGCTCTCTGTAGTCCCTCCCTAAGCCCTCTGGCTTTCCCCTTTTCACACACTGCTCCTTCACTCTGTATTTGAACCCTCAGTCCACGCAACAGTATGCTCTTAACTGCCCTACCTTTACCTGTAGACAGATGGTTCTGTCAGTCAGGGGCTCGCCTCTCTTGTCCACCCAGCAGCTCAGGCTTACCCTACTGCCTGACACACAGGAGCACAGAGGGAACTGTTGCTGAATGAGTATCTTATGAAAATAAGTATAAAATGAATGGCTTATGAAAATAAGCTGCAAATGTCCTATGTGATTATTATGTTTGCCACAGAATAAATTTTTCTTCTACTCACTTGATTTTTCATTGTGTTGGAGAACTGTGATTAAGTGCCAGAGGATAGTTTATTTATGTACTTTTATTGGAATTATTGTCACAGGTGGTGGGATTCCATCAACCAGGTAGTATCAGACTTGCTACCACTCCTGAAAGGGTAGATGAATTTAAATATCAAATGACACGGACCAACTGGCATGCAACGGAACAGTATATTATTGAGCCTGAAAAAATCCAAGAGATGTTCCCCTTACTCAACATGAACAAGGTATTTTGTTTGTTTGTGTGGTTGGTTTTGTTTTTTATTTTTTATTTGAGACAAGTTTTCTCTGTGTTAACAACGCTGGAACTCTCTTTGTAGACCAGGCTGGCCTCAAACTCACAGAGATCTACCTGCGTCTGCCTCCCAAGTGCTGGGATTAAAGGTGTGTGCCACCCCTGCCCTGCTTGAATTAGGTATTTATTTGAAGGGCAATTTTACTTTGTCAACTTGAACTAAAATTATTTTTAAAATGTACTTTAATGAGTTCAATGAATTTATGAATTTGATAAGTTAAAATTAAAACTAATGTGTGCATACGTTTAGAATGGCAACTTTAGATGACTGGTCCAGGAATGTGGACAAATCACACGGTGAGCTGTTATTAAATAATATTTGCAGCGGCAATGAAAACCCTTTCAGTTTCTGCCTGTGATAACTAAAGAAACATTCCAAAGCCTTTCTGTGACTGGATCGCTCAGACTGAAGTTCACCAACACACGGGCTTCAAAGACCATGACACCCTGCTATGATGATTCTACAAAGGGTTTGCTGAGGTTTTAGAACTCAAGAAGCCCTGTGCCATCCTTACACTTCCTGGCTCCTAGCTTTATGTCCCTGTCAGACTGAGCGAGGCACAGATCTAGATCAACTTTGAATGTCTTTAGAGAATCCGCTTGGCATGGAATTTAATGTTTGTTCCTTCCTGGATGATCATCCCTTTCAACATAATGATAGCAACATTAACACCTACTTCAGTAGTATTTCTGCAACAGAGACCATATTAAGTCTCTCCTATACAGAATCTGGCTATTGTGCCCCCCAAAAAACAGTATCTTAAACAGTTTATACATTGGGATGAGTGTGTTCAATTCAGCATTGTTGGAGGAAAGATTTGAACCCAGGTTCCTGATGCATGCTGTGCAGATGCCCTGGGTATGGATAGTCAGCAGGTTGCTTAGGGAAGCAGACAGTTGTTTCCCTGCTAGTGACTGTGTCAGGAGTTCCTGTCTCTGAGTGTTGGTGTAGCTGCTGTGCATGCTGGGGTGCTGTGCTCTTGGCAGCTTGTACAGGCCACGGGAACTCCTTGTCTATTGGTTGGTGTGATAGCAGTGTCTTCATTGAAATCCACCTCCGCTACACTACTAAGAATCCATTTATGTCTCTTTATATGTCAACCCTGCAACACTTGCCTAGAAGCTCTCATCATTACAGATTTTTCTCAAATATTAGGCAATGGAAACACATGGACTAGGGACAGAGTGCCAAACCAAACAGACACAGGATCACTACAAGGACATGTTCATTATAAAACACCAGTGTGACATCCGCAAGTCGGCAGGAGTGTGAATTCCATTAAAACCCAAAGTCTCTTGCACTGGACCGATAAGTACAAAGACTAAACTATAGTAAAAAAATTTGAGACAAAGAAGAGCTCAGGCCCAGTTGGTATCTCTCATTAATTCTAATGGATACTTGAAGAGTTAATACAAATCCTTCAGAAAGTCTTTAAAGTTAGAATTGAATACTTCCCAAAACAGCCTACAAAGTTAGCATGTCTCTTACAGAAAATGAGACAAAAACATCAGGAAAAAACAAAAACAAAGCAAAAGCCAAAACTACTATAGTATTGTATGAATATAGATGGGAAAGTCTTTAACAAAAATCCAGTAAATTGTACCAAGGATTCTACAATATGGTCAAATGGAGTGTGTCCCAGGAATGTAAGATTGGTTTAAAAGCTAAATCTCAATCAATATAATGTAATAACATCACATTAACAAAGCGCAAAGAACACAAAATAGTTAAACAGATGCAGGAAAAGTATTTGTCAAGACTCTCTTTGATGGCAAATTCTTGTCCAGTAGCTGAGATCTCGTTGTAGCGTGCCACTGAGCTGACTCTGTCACTCACTTCTTCCTAGTCCGTCCTTTTACTATTTCTCTCACATACCTAAGTTGAAGCCTTAACACAAAGCAGGCACGCAGGAAGTCATCGTTGAGTAATGAGTTGAGTATACATTTTCATCAAGTGTACATGTGTGCACGTGGATACGGGGGAGATGGAAGCTAGGTTACCACTCTAACACTAAACTACAGTCCCAGCCCATTTTTTTGTTTTATTTTGAGACATGGTCTCTCCAAGCTGTCCAAGCTGGCACTGAACTCACTCTATTCCAGGCAGGTATTGAACTTGGAATCCTGCCTTATCCTTGCTAGTAGCTGGGATTACAGACATGTATCACCAGTCCCAGCTGGTATCAGAAATGCATTAATATGCAAATTTATTTACAGTATTGAATAATTAAATATGCCATAACTGATATATCAGCTAGAATTAGATTTGGCTTTAAACATGAAAAACTGAAATAATAATGCTGAAGCAAGGCTATTTCTCTTTCATCCAAGCATTTATCCTGGCTCAATATGTCAACTTAACACAAGTTAAAGTCATCTGAGAGGAGGGAACCTCAGTTAAGAAAATGCCTCCATAAGACCAGGCTGTAGGCAAGCTTGTAAGACATTTTTTTAAATTAGCAATTCATTTGGGAGGGCCCAGCCCATTGTAGGTGGCGCCATCCCTGGGCTGCTGGTCCTGGGTTCTGTAAGAAAGCTGACTGAGCATGCCATGGGGAGCAAGCCAGTAAGTAGTGTCCTCCATGGCCTCTGCATCAGCTCCTGCCTCCAAGTTCCTCCCCTGCCTGAGTTCCTGTCCTGACTTCCTTTGATGATAGTCTGTTCTTTAGAAGCCTGAGCTGAATAAACCCTTTCCTTTCCATGCTGTTTCTATCACTGTAGTGATAGAAACCTTAATTAAGGACGCATTGCATAGCCAAGAAGTCATCAAGATTTCAAGGATCAAGTCACCTTCTGGATCACTGCTTTATCATTCCCGGGGTGTGACTCTTGTGTTATTATTCCACATTGGCAGATAGAGCCCAGCCATCACATCCAGATTCCAGACCCTAGGATGGAGAAAGGGACAAAGACGTACACCAGTTGTCTTTTTGGAGTGGCTCATGAAATGAAAGCTATACTCTTTGTTCTTAGTGGCGTGTGTCCAGTTATTGGAGGCCATTGCAAGGCTTTATCAAGTGACTCGTCATTGTGACAAATCACTCAACTCCCATGGTGAATCTTGCTCAAGTTTGAGTAGGACTTAGAAAAAAAGATATGGTAAATGCGGTCGAGATGCTTTCCCTCCATGCTAGAATCAAAACCCAGAGCCTCTGCTACTCAGCCATGTACACCTTTAGCCAATGATTTACGTTTAAAGTCTAGTTTTATTAAACATCTTCTTAGCAGGCTATATTTGCACTGAATAATATACAGGCATTTCTGTATGTTTATTATAGAACACTGGCTTTTTTATGTTTGATTTAGATTTTAGCTGGACTGTATAATCCAGGAGATGGTCACATTGATCCCTATTCTCTGACAATGGCCCTGGCTGCTGGGGCTAGGAAATATGGGGCCCTTCTAAAGTTTCCTGCACCAGTGACATCCCTGAAGCTCAGGCCAGATGGAACATGGGATGTGGGCACTCAACAAGGATCTGTGAGAGCAAACAGAGTTGTGAATGCTGCCGGTAAGTCCCCAGCCCTCTCTCTGTCACTCTGCCTAGGTCCACTTATCCTTGCCTGTCTGCTCCCACAGATTCCAGTCTCTCCCATTCTAGACTGTGTTTCACCAATTTAGACTTCTTCATCCTTTCAGTTTTTTTTTAATTGTATACATTTTCCCCCACTCTCCAACCCTCCTCCCCTCCCCCTTCTACTTTCCACCTGCCCCCCCTCTGTGCTCTCAATTTACTCAGGAGATCTTGTCTTTTCCCCCTTCCTAGGTGGATCCATATATGTCTCTCTAAGGGTCCTCAGCTGATTGTCTTTTGTTTTATGTCTAATATCCACTTATGAGTGAGTCAATATTATACTTGTTTTTCTAGATCTGGGTTACCTCACTTAGGATGGTGTTGTTTAGTTCTGTCCATTTGCCTGCAAATTTCAAGACGCTGTTGTTTTTTACTGCTGAGTAGTACTCCGTTGTGTAAATGTACCGCATTTTCCTTATCTCTTCTTCAGTTGAGGGGTATCTAGGTTGTTTCCAGGTTCTATTATGAATAATGCTGCTATGAACATAGCTGAGCAAATGTCCTTATGGTGTGAGTATGCATCCTTTGGGAATATGCCCAAAAATAATATTGCTGGGTCTTGAGGTAGACTGATTCCCACTTTTCTGAGAAACCACCATATTGATTTCCACAGTGGCTGTACAAGTTTGCTCTCCCACCAAAAATAGAGGAGTGTTCCCCTGTCACTTTTTATCTTTATCCTTTACTGGTTATTCTCATGACCAAATTCCAGGGACTAAATATATAGTTCAATCCGTAGAATGCTTGTCTGGCATACATAAAGCCCTTGGGTCAGAAGTTCGAGGTCTTTCTTGGCTACATAGGGAGTTTGAATCCAGCCTGGGATACTTGACATCCTGCCTCAAGACAAATAACCAAGCAAACCAACAAACCTGAACTCCACTGTTCCAGTTTCTTACGATGACCTTTCAGGACATCATTAAACACATTTTAAAACCTGCCTAAAAAGTAGAAGCAATTGAATACAAACCAGGCCTTAAACTTCCCTTTTCCCTTGGCTCTCCATCTGTTACTCCTGTGTCCCATTGTCCTTGGGAACCTCTAGACCAAATTATCTTAGAAAACTAGACTTGGAAATCATCCCACCACACCACCAAATAACAAAGTTCTTTGTAAGCTTGCAACATTTTATAGTCTCCTGAATTTACTCCTAAAACATTTGGCTACTTCACAGTGATAACAAATACTGAGGCCTCCACATCCTGTTCCTGTGGCAGACATTAGTAGTCAACACCTGCATTCATTTTGGGCAAGGTTGCACAGAGGCCCCTCCAAGTTTTGTTTCAACATAATGCTTCAGGAACTCATAAAGCTATGACATATGTTTTGAGAAATAACTCTCAGACTGCTTTTCTAAAATGGATGAAACTACTTACATAATAGGGTACCATGGCAATATCTTTTTATAACCATGTACTATGACATCTAAGGCATTTCTGAAGAGCAAAGTGAGAACTGCTCCAAAGAGATCTGAAATACACCCAGGAACTGGTGGTCATCAGGTGGAGTTTTCGATGCAGCTGTGGAACTCTGAGGTGATGGGCTTGGGAAAGCCATGCAGATAGCCCTGGAAAAATGCTGTCTGAACTGCCTAGGAAGACATGTTGATGGGATCTGACGCTAATGATGCCAGCCCTGCATGGCATGGCTGTCCTTCCTTCCCTTCATGCTTTGCTCCTCAAAGCTGCCCAATCACCTTCACTCTTTCTCTATGGTACTGCTGGAAGCTCTGAAACAAGTATTCTTCCTGCCAGCCTGGTCCCAGAGCCAAATAACACACAGAGACTCTAATAGTTACAATGTTGTCGGCCAATGTCCGGGACTTCTCATTGGCTAGTTCTGTCTTAAGTATTACCCATAGCTACACACACACACACACACACACACACACACACACACACACACACACACGGTCTTATCTTACCGAGGACACCATCCTGACTCATCTTCTTTTCCTGGGATCACGTGGGGACTCCTACTCTTGACTACATTTCCCAGAATCCTACTTAACTCCGAGTCCCACCTATCTTGCTTCCCTATTGGTCAACAGTGCTTTATTCATCAACCAATAAGACAAACATATATACAGAAGGACTTCCCCCATCAAAGCTCCTTGCTGAAAGTTGTGAGCTGTCCTGTTTCAGTCTCAACTCTATCCCATTCATATCAAGCCTTCAACTACCTATAACCTATTCCTCCCATTTTCTCCTCCTTTTCTTCCACTGAGCAGAAGTCACGGATTACATATTAGTAGCACCTGGGAAGTATGGAGGAGTGTGTGTGTGTGTGTGTGTGTGTGTGTGTGTGTGTGTGTGTTTCTATGTGTGCTTTCAAAGAAATTTTTTCTAAAGGCTGGAGGTATTCCCTAAGGTAAGTCTTGGCCTTGGTAAATGGGGCAGAAATCTGGATATGCCCCTCTCATAGAACTGATGCTATTTTAATAAGATCAATTTTATGAATAAAAGTAAGCAGCGTGCTAATGGTTTCAGAATGTAACAGCTGAAACATTTCCCAGAGTTGCTCAGTGAGACCAAGATGCAACACACCTTTGGACAAAGTCCTCAGGGTAGCTCTGGAATCCAACTAAAGGAACCAGGATGCAGACCTGGAAACAGTAACACTGTGAGAGATGTGAAGGCTGCCAAGTCTCTGGGATGCCCATAAGGAGTGGGTGGGAACAGAGGTGTGTGAGTTTGCTGGTGCATTTCTAGTTTTGTCCAGAGTGCTGACTGGGACACTCTGATCCAGAGACATGTGCCTTGCCAAGCCTGTGCTTGAGGCAAGTTACCAATTTATAAAAGATAATAATGCCTTCTCAAAAAGTTATTATGTACAGTAAAATGTAAAATACCCAGGACAGAGTATATGTGGAAAACAGTAAAAACATTAGTTATAATGATAATAATTAGGACCGTGATGCCATTTCCTTGAAAGTTTATGCCTTTGTCTGGGAAATATTTGTATCATGGCTTCTTGATACTAATCTTAATATTATTCCTTTTGTTTGCCCAAAACCATCTAGCAAACATTTGCTAGGAAATTACTTCCCAAAGAACTTGGTTGTCAAGCTAGGGTACGTGGGAATCACCTTGGAATGTTTCTCAGGCTTCAGAAAGATTTTAATTTAGGTGGTCTAGCTTGGGGCTTGCAAGATGTATTTATTGTATGTGTTTTGTTTTGAAACACTAGGGATTGGGCCCTTGCATAAGCTAGGCTGTTTGTCTTAGTTATAGTCTCAGTTGCTGTGAAAAAACACCATGACCAAAAGCAATTTGGGGAGCAAAGGGTTTACTTCATTTTACACATCCCCCCAATAGCCAATCACCATGGGAAGTCGGGGCAGAACCCAGAGGCAGGGTCTGAAACAGGAGCCACAGAAGAGACTGCTTACTTATGAGAGTTGCTCCGTTTGTTTCCTTACATACCCCAGGACCACTAGTCCAGGGATGGGCCCTCCCACACCCATCACTACCTAAAAGAATGTTCCACAGGCTTGCCTACAGCCAGCCTAATGGAGGCATTTTTTCCAGTTGGTGTTCCCTTGTCCAGATGACTCTGGCTTGTGTCAACTTGACATAAAACTAGCCAGGATACCAGTGTTCTAGCCCTGAGCTGCATCCCTGGCCTAGAAGCTGTGTTTTAAACTGTACCGTCTGTGCTAGATGGTGTTTCAAGACCTTTTCTTTGGTTGCGTTGGGGGCAGGGCTGGAGCTGCTGCTGAGGACCCAGGACCTCATTCCCGCTAAGCACTGTCCCACCCAGCTGCGCCCTACACATCCATCCAAGTAGTTATTTTATTTTGCGCTGAGCTGAGGTCTTGTTAAATTGCCAGGTGGCCTCAAATACTACATAATGCAAGTTGACTTTAAGCTTGAAAGTGTTTTGCTTTCATCCCCTGAGTGTCTGGGATCATGGGTGTGACTGTATCATCATGCTAAAACAGCTCTCGAGAAACACGCCTAGCCTGGCTTACCAACAGGAGAATACGCTGGCCATATTCTCTTCCCTTTCTCCTGTCTCCCCTCCTCCTCTTTCCATCCCTCTTCCCTCCTTGACTCACTCCCTGATCATCCCTCCCCTTCCCTTCCTCCCTCCACTCCCCTCTCCTTCCCTCCCCTCCTCTCCTCTTCCCTTCATTCAATCAGCCCCTCTCCTGCCCTCCCCTGCCCTGCCTTGGCTTCCTGCTTTCATTTTTGTGTGTCCTAGTTGTGAGCAAGCAGGGCTGAGGAGGCATCCTCGGTGCTTGCAGCATCTCAGTGTGTAGCTTTGTTCCCCAGAGCTTTTCAAATGAACTGGATCCTGCTTTATTCCACCCCTCGCTTGGGCGCAGGGTCATGGCACAGGGACATGGTGCAGCACAGAGACACAGCACGGAGACAAGGCCGAGCACACACAGAAGCTTGTACACGGTAAGGAAAGGGCCTCTTGACCTTGTTTCTAGTTGACTCATTAAACCTGAGAAAACTTTGTAATTTTATTTAAGACTTTTCCTAGTATGACAAGTCAGGAAGGGACTGAATGATGGAGCCTAGTGCTCATCCAGAAAGAGTTGCTGCGTTTTGCCTGTCACCCTGTATCAGTAAATTCTGTCATGAATCAACCTCTCTTCATTCTAACTTCATTTCTTTTGATCACTGTACTTTTGCTTAATTTAGTGTGCCTGAATGAGAAAGGACACACACCCAGAGAGAGAGAGAGAGAGAGAGAGAGAGAGAGAGAGAGAGAGAGAGAGAGAGAGAGAGAGAGAGAGGGAGAGAGGGAGGGAGGGAGAGAGGGAGAGAGGGAAGGAGAGGGAGAGAGACAGAAGAGAGAGAGAGAAAGTCTAGGCATCAGACACGCCTCATGCATGCTGGGTAAATGCTCTCCCCCTGAGGTACATGACCAGCTCTGCACTCTTTTTTACAGAGGCCGTTTCCAATGCTCATCTTTATGGCCCTTTAGTTACTTTCTTTTAGGATGACTTTTTCTATGCTTGACTCTCCCCTTTGACCTTGGTTGCTTTAACTCTCCCAGGAGTTAAAGTGTAATCCTGGCTAGACTTAGATTAATTCAATGAACAGAAAAGGAGGCTTCTCAGATACCAACACCAAAGGGTAAACGGTGGGGAGCTTGCGGGGTTTAAAACAATGCAGTTAGGCGAGATGCAGGCAAGCAAGCACACTTTATTTTAATGATAAAATGCACTAATAAGCAAGGCATCGGACTCAGAAATTTGCAATTATGTTTGAATAGGACAGAATTTATTTTCTTCAATTATGTTTTTAATCAAAACAACTAAATTGGGGATACTGTAGTACTTTGAGTTACTTGACAAAACATTTGACTTCAGATTTAAAAACTGTCCTAGTGTGTATAACAACAATACATAGCTTTGCTACAGTTTCCTACAAAATCCTGACACTGGTAATTCATACCTTTCTACAGGAAACAATAAAGTAAGTCTCTAAATTATTAAAGACCGGCAAACATCCCCAGTGCCCACAGGTTGGATTCCAAGTTTACAAAGGGCAGCCTGTGGGGGTGATTACTCAAGCGTGAGTAGCCTGACAGACCAGGCTGAAACAGAACAGTGGGGAATATGGATGGTGCTTGCAGAAGGGGAACAAATGATGGCTACAAGGGGACCTGCTCTGGGTCCCAGGCTGGCCCATGGGTGCTTCTGACCTATGAGAAGATCTCAGGACCCTCGCCAGATTCTTTAAAAAGCAGAAACAGAAGCAGTTGAAGTTTTAGACTACAGCCTAAAAAGCAGTAATTGAGAGGGCTCGCCAGTGCTTTGATAACTACTTCAACTACTACAGAACACGCTGGTCAGCAGAAGTGCCTCCCTACAAATAATTAGCCACTCCTTTGTCGAAAAAAATTACATTGATCATTTTAGATGCCGAAATATCTTTTTTATTTTTGGTAAGGGTGTGGTGTTTATTTAAAATAATGTCTTGCTAACTGGGTGCTGTGATTTTTCTAGTCCTGGACTGGGGAGGTGGAGGCCAGAAGTTCAGTGCCAGCCTGGGCTACATTGTTTGAGGTCAGCTCTGGCTACATATAACCCCATGTTAAAAGAGAGAGAGAGAGAGAGACAGACAGACAGACAGACAGACAGACAGACAGACACTAAAGCCTTGCTGCAACAGCAAAAGCATGTAGATTTGTTGGTCATAGTCTCTAGGGTCTTTCAGACACATCCAGGTTTAACCTTAGGAAATAATGCTCGGGAGAGCATCTGCTTTGGGAACTGATGTACCCTGTCTCCATTTTGTTGCTTTCCTTTCTGTGGAGCTAGGGATGAACCCAGGGTCTCACGCACTTGCCTGAAAGTCTCACCCCTGAGCATCCCTACCAGTTTCTCTTGCTTTTTGAGTTCAGTGCTTTCCAAGAAGGAACTCACAAGCTCACTGTTACTCTTGAATAGCAGAACATAATGTGTTCTCCTTCCCAACATGCACAGACTCTGAATCGTAAGTCAACAGAAGAGTCTTGAGTCTGTAGAATTAGGGATCAGCACTTTGAGGAGGGCAGGTCTGGAGGATGAGGGGCTGATTGGAGGGCTGCTCTGGGTGATAGTCTCTATTGTACTGATCACATCCACGCAAGGACTCTGCCCTTTGCCTAACTGTCACTGTCTACAGGCAGGGCTAGTTTGTTATCACCTTTCTTGCATTTTTTCATGTTTGGGTTACTTTTTCTCTGCTCTCCTTTGCTTGTAGGCAGTACATTTTCATGCAAGGGGAGCCTTTGATTTGCAGATGTCATCAAAACTCTGGTCTCATCTTCTCTCCCACTCAGTTTTGCGATGCTCAGAAATACTTAGGAAGTTGGGGATGTGTCCCAATGGTGGAGCGTCACCTGGCAAGCAGGTGCATGGCCTTTTGTTTGATCTCCAGCACTGGAACCAGATAAGCAATGAAGATGTTTGCAGATGCATGTTGTCATATCAATGTCGTGGGCAATGGACGTATGTGCTGATATTTTTTAAACGGTTTTCTCACTTAAGGATTTTGGGCTCGTGAAGTAGGTAAAATGATTGGCCTAGAACACCCTCTCATCCCTGTACAACACCAATATGTCGTCACGTCAACAATACCAGAAGTGAAAGCTTTGAAACGAGAGCTCCCAGTGCTCCGTGACCTGGAAGGATCCTACTACCTCCGACAGGAACGGGATGGGCTTCTGTTTGGCCCATATGAAAGTCAGGAGAAGATGAAACTTCAGGCCTCCTGGGTCACTCATGGAGTCCCTCCAGGTAAGGCCAGAGAAGATGGAGCAGCTCCCCATGGCTGAGAGCCAGGTAGAGAACAAGACAGAACCCCAGTGCTGGCCTTCGGGTGTCTGGGATGGCATGAGGGAGGGGTTAGAGGTGACCGTGTTCTCACACCCCTGTGGAGAGTAAGCAGATCTGAGGAAAGGGGAGATACAGATGGTTGAGAGAGAAGCTGACTTCAGTGCTGGGGTAGCTGGGAAAGGCTCCAGGTACATTTTTATCTGCCATGCCAAGCTTCTGCCAACCCCTTTCCCTCGATCTGCCTGCTTGGTCTAGTTGCAAGATCTGACTACAGATGTGTGTGCTCTGACAGTTGTCCATACTGCAAGTACGCAGGACAGGACATCCAGCTTACAAAGAGTGCAGGCCAGAGTCCTCAACCACGTCAGAACTATGGACAGGGGCCCTCCTGCACTTTGCAATCAGGGACAGCCTGGGGCTCTGTGCCGTAGCAAGAAGGGCCATGCTTTCTAGTTCCACAGGGGAGAAGAAAGAGCTTAGGTTTCTGTTTTGTTTTTCTTCTTAGTTTTTAATCCATGAAACATTTCCAAGAAGCCAAATCAAGAATTGGGTTATTTAGGCAGATACCCCTAGTGCATGTATGTACAGATGTGTGTACACGTGAAGCCCAGAAAACATCCTTAGGTATCATTCCCAGACACTGTCTAGATTTTATATTATTTTATTGTGTGGGCATAGGTCTCTCACTGGCCAGGAACTCATCAGAAGCTATGTTGGATGGCCAGTGAGCCCCAGGGGTCCACTTTGCCTCTACCTCCCTAGTGTTGAGATTACAAGTGCATGCAGCCACATCCAGTTCTAGCTATCAATCATCTCTGTGTGTGTCTGTCTGTATATCTGTCTATCTGTCATCTCTCTGTCTGTCTATCATCTGTCTGTCCTCTATCTATCTATCTATCTATCATCTCTATGTCTATCATCTATCTATCTGTCTGTCTATCATGTATCTATATCATCTATTATCTATGTATCTTCTCTCTGTCTATCATCTGTCTATCTGTCATCTATCTATATTATTTATTATCTATTTATCTATTTATCTATCTATCCATCCATCTAAAACACAGGCTCTGAGATTGAACTTAGGTCCTTGTGCTTGTAAGGCCAGTTCCTTTCTAGACAGAGTCATCTCCCCAACGCTCTAGTTTTATTCTGTAAAAGAAGCTAAAATGTGGTTTGGGCACTGAAATATATCAGGGAATATGTATGTTGATAAATAATTTGGGGCAGATAGCTTCCCCTCCCTCCCATATGACAGGAAAGGACTTCTGGCCCGCCTTGCCTCCTCCAGAGACTGGTCCAGCAGCTGGAGGGCTTTGGTTTGCTGAGCGGGTCCTGCACATCTGGGCCTGAGCAGAATTGCTCTAGACTTCTGAGTGAAGGCTGAGCTGCCAGGGAGGCTGGTGTGGGGAGGGGCCCCGTCTCCACTCTGCCCGTACTGTGGCTTTTCTTCCAAATAAGCGCTGAACAAATATTTAAATAATCCTAGCTAGAGGGAGAGTCAGACTGTGTGTTGTTCCTGGCATGGGTGTCCACGTGTCCCAGTGTGACCATGCTAGCTTGGTGGCTCCATTGCAACCTCTCCAAGCGCTGGGAGAACCTGGGTTGATACTATGTGGGCAACCGTCATCAAGTTTATCTGTGGCCATGCTTTTAGTCACAGTGGCTTCTAGGACACGAAGAAGATAATTGTTGCACAAGACTCACCTCTGCACCCAGAACACTGGCCTGTGGATGCACGTGGGAGCAAGCTACAGCAAGGAGGCTGTCTGGGGAAAGGAGCTCTAATGTCCTCCACCCTGGATCCTGGAGCGGTGGTCCTCATTCTCCAGGGTGTCAGAGCAACTGTACACTCCATTTACTCTCCTTTTACATTAATTGCAAGCTAAAAAAGCAAAAACAAAAACTCCTGCCAAAACAAGTTATTGTTCTTTTTTAAATGATTGGGTTAACTATTAGAGGGGGAAAAAGCCCAAGCATAAATTTCAATTTCTATTTACTAAAAAGGTGACTTTTGTTTTACAGAGAAATAGCGTTATTATTCCCAGGAATGTTATAGGTTCTGGTGTGGAGATAGTGAGTGCCAAGTTTAGGCTTACTATCTTTTACATTGATTGATTGATTGATTGATTGATTGATTGATTGATTGGTGTGTGTGAACATTTAAATGCCATGGCACACGTGTGGGGTCAAAGGATGACATGCAGGGGTCAGTTCTTTCCTAGGGAATGAGTTCAGCTGTCGGGCTTGGTGCCTTTACCCACTGAGTCGGCTCACTGGCCCAAAGCTTAGCATCTAAAGATGAAGGAATGCCTACCTTACAGACACCTGTTCCAGAGATTGCATCGCTTTGAGACTTGCTTGTACACAGAGACATTCTGACCTCAGAGGTCTGTCTTTCTAGGCTTTGGAAAGGAACTCTTCGAGTCTGATCTGGACCGGATTATGGACCACCTGGAAGTTGCCATGGAAATGATTCCTGTTTTGAAAAAGGCAGACATCATCAATATCGTCAATGGTCCCATCACCTACTCTCCTGACATTCTGCCTATGGTGGGGCCCCATCAGGGGGTCAGAAACTACTGGGTGGCCATAGGCTTTGGGTGAGTAGCACTCTGAGATTTAACATTTCTTGTAGAAGCACTTACTTTAGCTAAATCCAGTCTCAAAATATTAGGCCCCAGAATGGAAAACGAAGAGGTGATGGAGGCCGGGGATGTGGTGGAGTTGGGAGTAAGGTAAGGGCGGGATTGTCTCCTTTTGATGACCAAGGAAAGAAAGCAGGAACCAGTCATATAATGGGCTAAACACGTGATAAAGGTTAGCACACAGGTGGCAGTCATTTTCTGAAACTGTCTTCGTGAATTTCCTGCCACTTCCATTCTTTGTGTCTCTTTTTATGACATCACCTTCCACTAGGTCAATCTCCCAACTGGACAAGAATGTTTTCATAACAGAATGTGACATATTCAAAGTATCAAATGGATAACATGTCCTTTGTATAATTCCTGTTTGTCTAATGCGGTTTACTTCTGTAGAACTCCCCTGGCTGCCTCCTGTTTAAGAGTCCACTCCTCCTTGCCCATGTTTCATTTCTAATATTTGTCCAATTCATATGCCGAGTATTGATTTCAAACCCACGTTACCATCATACACAGTTTCTAATATTCTGGTTTGTTCTCCATTCTATTTGGCTGTGGGTTCAAATGGTCTTTACTGATCGCAGCTCTGTGGCAGACCTCATGCTGCAAGTACCAAGTGATGCCTTTGCATTCTCCTCGGGCACTAAGTTGCTCACAGCCAAACACAACCGTTTTCCTAAAGGACTGCAGTTGTGGAGGAAGCATTGAGTTTCTGCCAAATTCCTCTCACACTTCTTAGAACTAAAGTGCTGGCTGGCAAGCCACTATAGTTTGGGGGATGCTGGGCTTCTTCAATTAGGATTTTTAAAATATGTGGTAATGGGGATCAAAACCAGGGATAGGCCGGGCGGTGGTGGCGCACACCTTTAATCCCAGCACTTGGGAGGCAGAGACAGGCAGATCTCTGTGAGTTCAAGACCAGCCTGGTCTACCAAGCGAGTTCTAGGACATGGTCCAAAACAATACAGAGAAACCCTGTCTCGAAAAACCAAAAAAAAAAAAAAAAATGGGGTCCTCACAACTTAATATCAGCTTCCTTGATTCTCTCTCCCCGACTCTCATCCCGTTCAGGAACTCAGAAGCTCCTTCATATGTAGCCACAGGCAAACCCATATTGAAAGGCTTTGTTGGATAAGGAGGGGCAGGTAGACCCTCATAAGGCCTACCGGAAACTGATTCTGATGTCACAAGTCATCATTTCTGTAGTTTAAAGCATCCTTGGGAGCTGGGGACTGTAGCTCAGCTGGTAGGTGCCTGCTTAACATGCAAAAAGCCCTGGGTTTGATCCCCAGTGCCCTATAAGCCAGACATCGTGCTATATCCCTGTGACGCCAGAGCTAGGGGCAGGCACAGGAAGATTAGAAGTTCAATACCACTTTTGTCTGAGGTCAGTCTGAGGCCCAAACACTTCTACTTGTGGAAACAGGGGACAAGCAGACCTTCCCCTCCAATAGCTGCAAATCAGAGGTCACATTCCTTTCTGCCCTCTCCCACAAGTTCCCACTAAGTGCCTGCCTCTGCCTGAGTGTTCCAAGGTCCCTCGCATAGAGGCCACCACCTGAGAGAACCAGCACCACACTGAGTCCAGAGGAGGTGGAGGGGCATCTCCCACAGTTTCCTACCACTCAGGGTAATCACAGCTCAGGAAGGCAGGGGGTGCCCGCCACATCCTCCCTAAAGCCAGCATCTTTACTAGTGGGCAGCTGCAGGCTACCTGTAGGTCTGTGATGCACTGTGAAAACAAACCAGCGATCATGTCGGGCGCCCTCATTTGCATGCCGGAACATGCACTGATATGTTTGGAGGAAAAAACGTACCCGCATGAAGATTATATTACTGGTGTGTTTTAAACACGCCTAGGTGACTCCAACTTTTGATGGCCTGTAAGATACTTGAACATGTCTTACCATTTGAACACACCACATTTGTAACAAGGTGCCCATCTTTGTATCCAAAAGCTATGGCATAATTCATGCTGGAGGGGTAGGCAAGTACCTCAGTGACTGGATCCTGCATGGAGAGCCACCTTTTGACCTAATAGAACTGGATCCCAATCGCTATGGCAAGTGGACGACAGCGCAGTACACCGAGGCCAAAGCCAGAGAATCCTACGGGTTCAACAACATCGGTGAAGTACTAACTTGCTGACTTCTAGAAAGACTGCTCAGTTTAGATACTCTGCTCGGTCCCCCGGGGGTGGTGAGGAACTGTAAACAGCACTGTGCCTTAAGGCATAGCGAGGGGTGCGTGTGACAGTGTAGCTAATGTATTGGGCACACCACTGATTTTTAAGCTTTGGGTGTATTTTTACTTTACCCTTTGATGATCAGTATAAGTGGCATATTTAAAAAAAAACATATGTATGCTTTTGGATTATAAGTTCTGTCATCTCCATGTTAAAGTCCCTTCAGTATATTGTGTCATTTCAGTGGTACGCTATTAGAGCACTGATGTTCCCTTCTCAGTTGGTTATCCTAAAGAAGAGCGGTTTGCGGGGAGGCCAACCCAGAGGGTCAGTGGGCTCTACAAGACCCTGGAGTCCAAGTGTTCCATGGGCTTCCATGCGGGCTGGGAACAGCCACACTGGTTCTACAAACCCGGCCAGGACACTCAGTATCGGTAAGTGAATGTCTCAGCCTGCCCGCGTTCTGATCAAGGGCTTCCACTGCAGGGGCAGAAGAGGACCGCAGCAGCAGGACAGCATGGCATGACTCTTCTGCCATCATAGCTGTGTTGCTTTCAGAGGAGCTCTGAATCTGCCTGGGTATCACTTCCCTGCTGCTGGCGGGGGCAATCATTAGGCCAGCCCAGGGGACACTGCCAGTCTCAGTGGGGCCTTTTCTTTCTTCTTTTGGTTTTTCAAGACAGGGTTTCTTAGTGTAACAGTCCTGGCTGTCCTGGAACTCGCTTTGTAGGCCAGGCTGGCCTTGAACTCACAGAGATCTGTCTCCCTCTGCCATCCCAAGTGATGGGATTAAAGGCATGCACCACCCTGCCCGGTGTGATGCCTTTTCTGCTGACAGTTACCAGAACCTCAGAGGATCCTTCCTCGTCCCCATACGAGTACCAACATGGTTTTGATTGGCTGCAGAAGGCTTGTTATGGCTTAGATTCAAATACTGCATGGAAAAGACCCACAGCTCTGGATCTTGAAACAACCGAGAGCACCTGCATTTTGGGTTAAACTAAGACACCAAGCATGCCACCAAAACAGGCATCTGAGTTCCTGTAAAGTGCTGTGTGTCATTGCTGGACTTGGGGTTAATGGTGATTATTTTTCCCAGGAGAACCCATAAACTAAGGAAAAAGGAGCAGCAAGTCTAGAAGATAATTTACACTTTCATTTTGCTAGTTTAAACAGGGCTTGGGGCTAGACAGATAGTCTAAGTGGCAAAGCACTTGCCATGCAGACATGAGGATTAAGTCTGATCCCCAGTACCCACGAATAAAGTCGGGTGTGAGAGTACATGCTTGTAACCCCAGTGTTAGGGAGAACTTTCTGGTCAGCCAGCCTAGCCTATTGGCAAATCCTAGGCCAGTGAGAAATCCTGTCTTGGCAATAAAACAAGGTGGATGGCTCCTGGGGTATGGGCCCTGAGGTTGTCCTGTGGCCTCAGCATGCACACACACATATGTGCACACCCACGAACATGCATGCACAGGAAACAACAGGTTTGATGTCTGCTTTAAGTTGAGGTAAGTGGTGTAAAACACAGGAGCAGGGCAGCTGTGAATGAATGAGTGTGTTCCGCTCTAGAAACAGCTGATCTAGCACATTGGGGGCCGAATACTGGCTCGGTTTCCAGGAATGACTCAGGTAAACACTAGCTTTGTTTTTCATTCTGTGAGGTTTAGATCTGACTTTTTTTTTAAATAGTTAAGCTACTGGAAAATTCTGCAGACTTAGCACCCTGTTTTGAAGCTAAAAACAGAATGTTTAGAAGCCATTTGCTTAAGTGGGAAGGACCTCTTGAAATGAATCAGGAGACTGGGTTCTAGACCCAGCTCTGTCACCAGCTGCTGCAAAAGACTGGGAAGCTGCTGGGTGCCTTTTCTCTGAAAAGTGTAGGTCCTGGACTAGACCACTGCTTACTTCAGGTGGACACGCCCTGAAACCTGCCATGGCGCCCAACCCCTTTTAACAAGTGAAAGCGACCTGTTTTCACAGTTCTGAAGAAGTGCTGGCTAAACAGCTTCATGTGAGTGTGCACACATGTACACACATGGCACATGCATGCACATGCACACACAGAGACATACATATACATGTGCACACACAGAGTCATACACGTGCACACACAGAGACATATACCCGTGCACACATAGAGACATATACACGTGCACACATAGAGACATATACAAGTGCATACACAGAGACATGTACACATGCACACACAGAGACATGTACATGTGCACACACAGAGACATATACACATACACACATAGAGACATATACATGTGCGTACACAGAGACATACATATACCCATGCATACACAGAGACATATACACATAGAGACATATACACATGCACACATAGGAATATATACATGTGCACACACAGAGACATATACATGTATACACATAGACATATATACACATGCACACAGAGACACATATATATGTGCACACAGACATATATACACATGCACACAGAGATGCATATACATGTACACACATAGACACATATATGTGCACACATAGACATATATATACATGCACACAGAGACACATATACATGTACACACATAGAGACATTTATACACATGCACACACAGAGACACATATACATGTACACACATAGAGACATATATACAGATGCACAGACATGTGCATAGCATTTATACACACATGTGTACATACACACACTCCATTCTGATTTAATGAGGCCTATTAACTGGTATCTGAAAAATGCTCCCCAGATGTTTCTAACATGCAACCAGGGTTCAAACCCCCTGAATTGTTGCCTTATACACTGTTCTTCAGACCAGAGTACCTGAGAGTTCTGTCCTGTTTTTCTTGCTAATTATCACTCACTCACTCACTCACTATAAAATGGGTGGAACACATAGATAAGTAAATTATAAAAAGTTAGATTCCAAAGTGTGTAGGTTTTTCTAGATGGTGGGGATGCTGATTGAAATATTCTTATTCTGTAATTTTGGGATGATGAATGACAATTGTCTTGAACAGCAAATATCGTGTTTCAGGCCAAGTTTCCGCCGCACAAACTGGTTTGAGCCAGTGGGTTCTGAGTACAAACAGGTTATGCAAAGAGTTGGTGTAATTGACCTGTCTCCATTTGGCAAGTTCAACATCAAAGGCCAAGATTCTTCCCGACTTCTGGACCATCTCTTGGCAAATGTCATTCCTAAGGTAAATAGACAAGGTCCAGGATTCTGACCTGGTCCTCAGAACAAAACAAAACGAAACAAACCCCTCAGACCCACCCTTCTTTGGCGAATGCTTCAGCTGCCCAAGAGTATGCAAGCTAATTCTTAACTGCAAAATTTCTGATGAGTCAGTTGTCTAGGAAACTAATGGTTTCATTTAATGTGCCAATGAGATCCTAAAGGTTGGCTGCAGTTAAATGGATGTGGTAGGTTTTTTAATTGTTACACCTGTTTGTGTGTGCCATGCATGCAAAGGTCAGAGGACAACTTCCAAGTGTCTTTTCATCCTCCCTTTTCACCAGGGATTGAATTTAGGGGGTCAGCTTTAGCCAAAATGCCCTTACCCCAGTGCCATCTTCCCAGTCCTGAAGTGCAAATATTTTAGGACAAATAATTTTGTATGATTGTTTAAATGGAAAATTTAAATTAATCTGTTTGGTTCATATACTTGATATAAATGGTAAGAGTTTTTCGTGGCCTACAGAGCTTACATGTGTATTAAGATGTTTAATTCATCCCAAAATGATTTTAGATTCTGTTGTGCAGGTGGGTTTTACAAACATAAGTCACATGTTGACACCCAAAGGTCGAGTGTATGCTGAGCTGACCGTCTCTCATCAGTCTCCGGGGGAGTTCCTGTTAATTACTGGCTCTGGATCAGAACTTCACGATCTTAGGTAAATAGACATCCAGGAAAACAATTTTGAAGAGGTGACACTGTTTTTCTTGTGGTAGCAATTCTAGTTTCGTTTCCGTTGCTGTGGTAGAACTCCTTGACAAAAAGCAGTTTCGAGAAGAAAGGCATGGGGCTCAGTTTGCAGTCTCGGGTTCCAGTTCGTCACTGTGGGGAAGTCGAGGCAGGAGCAGGAACTTCAGGCAGCGATCAAGAGGGGGGAAGGGAAGGCATGCTCGATCACCTGCTTGTACTCAGCTCTGTTTTACACTCTCCTCAGTTTAGGACGCCCTGCCTGGGATGAGTCTTCACACATCATCTAACTTAGTTAAGACAATGCCCCACAGACATGATGCCCTCAGGCCCCGTTCTCCATTGAGACTCTGCCCAGATGACTCTATGTTGCGTCAAGTTGGCAGAGATAATCATCATGGTGGCTGGAGAGGTGGTTTAGCTGTTAGCAGCACTGGCATTTTTTTTCAGAGGACCAGGATTTGATTTCTAGCACCCACGTGGTGGTTCATAACCATTTTAACTCCACTTCCAGGGGATCCGATGTCCTTTTCTGGCCTCTGGAAATACCAGGCACATACATGATTCACAAACATACGTGTAGGTAAAATACACCCACAGATAAATAAAACTGAATTAAAAAAGGTAACCATCACTCAGCACTTATAGAACAACTTTAGTTCTTTTCTTAAAGTGGACTTTGTATTTGAATGTGTGGAGTGTGTGTGTGTGTGTGTGTGTGTGTGTGTGTGTGTGTGCGCGCGCGTGTTGGAGTGTGTGGAGTGTGTGTGTGTTTGAGTTTGTGGAATGTGTGTATTTGAATGTGTGGAGAGTATGTGTGTATCTGAGTTTATGGAATGTGTGTGTATATGTGTGTGTATTTGAATGTGTGGAGAGTGTGTGTGTATTTGAGTGTGTGTATGAGTGTGTGTATTTGAATGTGTGGAGCATGTGTGTGTGTATTTGAGTGTGTGTGTGTGTGAGAGAGAGAGAGAGAGAGAGAGAGAGAGAGTATGCTTGTGAGTGTACGTATGCATGTATCCATGTGCACATGCAGGTTCCTGAAGAAGCCAGAATAGGGCATCAGATCTCTGGAGCTGGAGATACAGGGCCATGAATCACACCTGGGTGCTAAGAACCATGCCCCAGCTCTCTGTAAGATCCTCAGCTCTCGTAATCTGTGAGCTGTCTCCCCATCCCCCAATGTTAATTCTTAAACCTCATCAATGTGAACAAACCTCATGTGTTTTATAGGAGTAGTTGAAGCAAAAGCTCCTACCCACTCCACAAGGTTACCCATCCAGTGGACTTACTGGTTCTGACAGTATTTATTAAACATCATCAATGAGCCAGGACTCCTTTCAGACATGACCTCACTTAATTCTCTTAAGATTTTACAGAAGCTGGGGAGATAGCTCCATAAACAGAGTGCATTCAGACTCCCCAGCAACCATAATAATGGCAGATAGGCCCAGTGGCCTGCACGTATCCCAGCACTTAGGAGTCACAGACGGGCATCCCCAGATGTTTTATAGTGCCTATGATCCCATAGCTGGCTAGCTAGACTCTCTGAGTAGGCGAGCTTTGGGTTCAGGCAAGAGGCCCTGCCTCAAAATACAAGGTGGCATGCCATCAAGGAAGACACTCAGTTTATCTTCCTTGGCCTCTGCACACAAGTACACATGCATGTGCACACATATACAACATGTGTGCATACATATACATCACATGCACGTGCGTGTGCCGAGTAAAAAGATTTTGCAAAGTATGCATTAACCGCATTTTCAGAAGAGGAAACCGTGTGGGTTACAGTCACCACCAGTTCAAGTTTGCATGACTGATTAAGGTGTCACACTGGCTTCACTGCAGCCAGCCAACGCCCTTAGTTATCACCTTCCCTCTGCCACACCCTGTGCACAGTGGCTCACAGCTAATTGTTGACCTCCTTTGGCTGGGCCTCCAGCCTACCGTAAAGCTTCCATCTTCTGTTTAGTATTCCGAAAGTGCGTGGAGTAGTAGCATGAAATCGAGGTTTGACTCAGTCTCACCTTCGTGGTAGAATTATGGAAATCTGATGACCAAGCGTGAGGGCTGCGGAGGTGACCTTAGCCACTGAAGCCTCTCCTAGTCTAGGCGAACACTGTGACAGATCCCCGGGCCTCCAGGGATGGCTCAATAAATTATGGACAGGGCCAGAGAGTTGCTGCCCAAAAACTCATCAAGACTTAGAAATTGAGTCTGGAGTGTTTCTCTGTTCTTTGTGATTGTCAGAGCAGCTGTGTGTCTGGTGGCAGGCACATTACTAACGGCTAGCAGCACGAGTAGGCATCCTGGGTACCGTCATTGAAGCAAACTCAGGTGTAAATTAATTTTGAAGATGAAACCATTAGTTTAAATGCAACAGAACCATCCCTATTTATAACCGTGGCAAAGCTCATTTCAACTGGACGATTCCTGTTACCTGGAAAATTCCCTCCCAAGTCTTAAGTGTGCAATTTAAAGAGAATCTTTACCTCTCGGGAACTTGGTTTCGTCACCTTTCAAATCAAGATGGCTGCACGCTGTGACCTTCTAGGGACTTTCTGATGATTCCTAACTTGAAGCAAGTCTTCAGAGACATAAAATGTTAGAAACATGCATTATTCAAGCGGCGTTTACACAGTGCTTATGACCCCATTGCAGATGGATTGAAGAAGCAGCAGTCAGAGGCGGCTATAATGTAGAAATTCAAAACATAACTGATGAGCTTGGTGTCCTGGGAGTGGCGGGGCCATATGCAAGACGAGTCCTCCAGAAACTGACCTCAGAAGATCTCAGCGATGATGTTTTCAAGTTTCTCCAAACCAAGTCTTTAAAGGTGGCTGACATACCTGTCACTGCCATCAGGATCTCTTATACTGGTAGGAATTGGGAAACAGCCTAATGGGAGGAAAAGCTACCAGAACTCACACACACACACACACACACACACACACACACACACACACACACACACACACAGTCATACCCTCACAATGCATGCTCACACACACTCATGTGCTCACACATACCCCCACAGTCATACCCTTTCGATACACACACACTCGCCTTCCCACACACTCACATGCTCATTTACCCGTACACTCCTACTCACACATATGAACACTCATGCATACTCACTCCCCTCTCCCCCAATTTCCCTGACTTTGAAGAAAGATTTCTTTTGCCCAACTCTGAGAAGTCTGTCTGGCCACTCCTACCTTCTCTAGTGCTTCTACCCATTTCTAGTTGCTTCCCTTCCGGAGGGTAGATAAGGAAGGAGCAGAAGATAGCCATTGGAATGGCTGGAAGACCCCAGTCAGTAGACTGCACGGGAACACTCACACTGTGGCTTCCAGCCTCGTGTGACCCACCATGCCAAACTTTCCACCAGTGCAGTGGTTCTCAACCTTCCTAATGCTGGGACCCTTAATACAGTTCCTTATATTGTAGTGACCCCCAGCCATACAATTACTTTTGTTGCTACTTTGTAACTAATCTTGCTACTGTTGTGATTCATAACCTAAATATCTGTGTTATCTGGTGGCCTTAGGCGACCCCTCTGCAAGGGTTGTTTGACCACCAAAGGGGTTGAGACCCACAGGTTGAGAATCACTGCACTAGACCATGGCCCCTAGTGCATCCTCCCTCCCAGTCCTGTGTTCCCTGGGGGGGTGGGGTCTTCTCCCTGCCTTGCACAGAGCGTGCATTTGGTGCAGGAAGCTCGCCATTACCCAGCGACACTCCCACTTACCTTGAGTTCCTCTCACTCCTGTGTCCCTTTTGAAGGGGCCCTTCGTGCCCAGGCATTCACCCTTCCATGTTACTCCTGCTCTGATGGTGTCCGGCAGAGTCCGTCACTGCCATCCTGTGATGATGGGAGCTAGGAGAGTGCTCGCTGTTACATCACAGCCTGCTGGCTTCCATCCTAACTTTTCCCAAAGTTGGCAAAGAAGGGCAACTGGGGTAAAAAACAAAGGAGCCTTCGGGGTGTGATTTTCTTTTCTTTCGTTTTCTAGCACCTAGCTCTAATGGTGAATGAAAAGGGGAGGGAGGGCGGAATGAGAAGCAAAATAAGTTAATGACTATAGCTGGCTGTCTACAAGAAAAAAATATGAATAATTTCACATTCTTTATACGTTTAAGGCTTGTGATTCTTGGGTTGGAAACTGGAGTGTCTAAACCTTGAACTCCATTATTTTTTGAACTCCGTTATCATATATTTTTGTGTCTGCCAGTATATGTGTGTGCGTGTTTGTGGGGACCCGTATGTTTACGTGTGGGAGCCACATGTCAACCTTGTGTGTTATGTTGTTTTCTGAGCCAGGACTTCTCACAGGTTGGCTGGCCAGCCAGAGTACCTACATCCCCAGCCCAACAGGGTGACTTGCAAGAGACAGTTCTCTTCTTCCAATGTGTGGGTATCAGGGATCTCAGATCATCAGGCTTGGCAGCAGACCCCTTTACCCACTGAGCCATTGTGTGTCCCCCACACCCTGCACTTTTTTAAAATGTGGGGATCAGGCTGGAGAGATGGCTCAGAGGCTAAGAGCATTGGCTGCTCTTCCAAAGGTCCTGAGTTCAATCCCTAGCAACCACATGGTGGCTCACAACCATCTGTGATGAGATCTGGTGCTCAGTTCTGTCCTGCAGGCAAACATGTGGGCAGAACACTGTATACATGATAAATAAATAAAATCTTTTTAAAAATGTGGGGAATCAAACTCAGGTCTTCATGCTAAAGTGCATGGTAAGTTTGTTACTGTCTGAATTGGCTCCTCCTCGCCCTCTTCAAAGTTTGTAGTTTGTTTTTAGACAGTGTCTCAGTAACCCAGGCTAGCCCGGCACTCACAACCCTCCTTCCTCAGCTTTCTGAGAGTAGGCATCACAGACGTCCTCCCCATATCCAGACGAACCCCTTGAAAATATGTGCTAGCCGTTTACCTACTCTTCACTGTCCTGAAACCAGGTGAGGCTTGGAATGAAGCCGAGGTCCAGGGTGGGAAGTAAGTCCCTGACAAGTGTCCTTCTGTGTGGAGCCCAGTCTTCCAGCTTTCGCCCTGTGTATGGGAGCCAGGACTACACGCAAATGACCATGAGATGGCCGTCTGGCTCCCAGTGAGCTATTCTTTTAAAAACTGCAAAGACTGCCTGTGTGACTGGGTTTCTCCCACGCGTGTGTCAGCCAATGTACGCGAGTACTCACACTGCAGTCCGTGCTCTCACTCCTGAGTGGACTCTGCCCGTGTATTTCAGGTGAGCTGGGATGGGAGCTGTACCACAGACGAGAAGATTCCACAGCGCTGTATGAACGTATCATGAACGCAGGCCAGGAGGAAGGAATCGACAATTTTGGAACATATGCCCTGAATGCCTTAAGACTGGAGAAAGCTTTCCGAGCATGGGGCTCAGAGGTTTGGATACCAGCATCCTTATGATCATTGTGTCTAATGTTTGTTGGAGGGCTAGTTTTAACAGTGTTATTATCAACCGTGGCTGTGTGCGAAATCATACGCTATTAGAGACTTTGATTAGGGAAAGAGTCCTCCCCCTATTTACCAGTGAACATTGACCAGGCTCTGGGATAATGTTTATTCTGCCTTTATACCCCAACCCTGACTTGGTGGTGAACAGAGGACTCGAGTATCACCTTTCAAACCCTTGCCTTCTCTAGTATGTTGTGTCTTAGTTTCTTCTCACAATACATCCTTGGAAATGTTCTTTTTTCTGAGGGATGGGGCAAGGGTCCTAGGTGCTGGTCTAGCCTTTCCCAGTAATACTGGTAGCCAAGGGTTTCTCTTTGGATAATGCTTCATCATTTATACAGCATTTTTATATGCATTGATTCCAGTTAGCTCTGCCTTTCTTCCCTGTTGTGATAAATTACCCTGACAAAAGCAGCTTCGGGGAGAAAGGGTTTACTTCGATTCTCAGTTTCTGTTCCAGTCTTTCACAGTGGCCATGTCACGGTGGCAGTAGCTTGAGGGAGCTGGCACATCGCATCCATAATTCAAAATGGCTGCGTGCCTGTGTGCAGCTGCTGGGCTGCCCTTCTGCGTGTTAGCCAGTCCAGGATCCCTGTCCAGGAAAAGCGGTGTCCACAATGACGATGAGTCTTCCCACGTTAATTGTTGCAGTGAAGACTCACTGCGGTCACACCCAGAGACCTTTGTCGCAGGAGTCGGACATTTAGCCATCAACCTTCTCAGCTATTCAAGAAAGTACTGTTGCCACGACTCTTACTTTGCAACCACACCGGACTTGTGGATCCACATGGTCCAGATTCCTGATTCAGATCCTAGTCAACTATTTTTATTTCCTTGTGAGAGAAACCAAAGCCCAAACTTTTTCAGAAAACTGCTTTTTTTTTTTTTTTGGAAGATCCTGAGGTTTTAGGGGACATGGAGGAAAGCCTCGGAGTGGGGACTCTCGGAGGGTTAGATTTACCCTCCAAGCCTGCACACTCTTTCTGTGACCTAACCTCTCTTCCGCTCTTCTGTGAAATAGAGTAATTCTCCTACAGAATCAGCATAGACACAGAGATGCTTTATAACGAGCCAAGCAAGCACACCACGCGATTAACTTCTAATTTAATATGAAAGCTCATTGCAGGGAGTCTTGGGCCTTAGCCTTGGAGGAAGCCGGTTCCTGCCTGCTCAGGACTTAGGTGAGGGCAGAAAAAAAACCAAAAGTAGAAAAGCGGTCCCCTGAGAATTAAGCATTGCTGTATTCTGTTGTTGATGTTTCTGGCGTTTCCCTGGATTTTGTTTGTTTTGGTTTTTGGTTTGTTTTCTGCTTCCTCCCGCTGCGCTCCATTTTAGGACTGTTTCCCAACAGTACCAGAGCGCCCTCTGGTGTTGAAACAGCAACGAAGCCTCTCTGTTTTCCTGAAAAAAAATTTCCTCCAAGTTTTAGCAGACTGAAAAATAATTTCAAAGAAACTCAAACCGATTTAAGAAACAAGAGAACAATATTACGTGGTGTAAAGTAATCTTATGTGTATCTGGCTTATGTAAGGCCTGACTTTTTGGGAGGCTAGACCAAGCAGTTTCCATTGCCATAAAGAGAAAAACGAAGCAGGCTGGTTTCTAGAAAGTCCTTCTCATTAACAGTGTTAATTGAATATGGCGTGGTCTTCTGTTTGTTCCCATTTCTGTAGTCTAGAAACGGTTTCCACTGAGTTTATCTCAATCCCTTTCATCTTTCCTTAGTTCTCATCCTATAAATTCGAATCTTCTATAAAAATTTGTGGAGGGGGAAAAAAAAAAGCAAAACAGAGACAGCAGCACCCCGTAACTTTATTCGGGTTTCCCCTGCATCAGCGTGTCCTGCCGTGATTCAGCCATCTTGAAATTCAGCCCTGCTTTCCCCTTTTCTTTCCTGAACTCCGTAACAGCCAGTGCTCCGCCACCAGCTCGTCTCTCTGCTCTCCTATTCATGGCTAGTTGCAAGATAAGCGAAGCTACTCAAGAACTTTAAAGAACATAATTATGTAAAACCATTACATAATACACAGGAGAGTCTTGCTTGTGGAACGTCATGTGCTAGCCTCCAAATATTTATTGAGATAAAAGAGCGGGGCCAGAGAGGTGGCATGGTGGTTCAGAGCAGTAGCCGTGCTTGCAGACGGCTCAAGGTCAGTTCCCAGCATCCTCTTGGGCAGTCCACAGCCTCCTATTATTCCATTTCTGGGACTGGGTATCCCATGCCTCAGTTCTCCAAGGACACCTGCACCTAGTCCTAGCCACACACAGACATGGGCATGCACATATTAAAATTAATCAGTTGGTTAACATCTTTAAAATAAAAGCAGTGGAAACAAATCCCAGCTTCCAGTTTCTGTGCTTGTATTTAAATGACAGCATTTGCCAAAAGACTTCATTTGAATTTTGAATTAAAAATACTTTTCTGGAGACTAGTCCATAGTTAGGCTTTTCGAGAATCTTTACTCAAAAGTTGTGAAGTACCCCTTGCTCCTAGATAACAGTATAAGAAAATGTCACTGAATGAGTTTTAGACACCAGTTCAGGGTGGAAGCCAGTATGTGCTGGTATTTGCTGAGTGGAGGTAACAGGTTTGTTTCTCCGTTTTACTCTTCTCTTTGTGGTAACGGGGAACTTGTCTAGCCCTGCCCCTACTAAGACTTGCTGGGAGTGGTGGCACCCTCCTTTAGTCCTCCGCTCTGGAGGGGAGGCAGGCAGATCTTGGTGAAGTACTACACCTTCTAAAGGTAACACAGTTCCGATGTGAACCAAACTAACATGCTCATCCGAGACTTGAAACATGTTTTCCTTTCAGATGAACTGTGATACGAACCCCTTGGAAGCGGGGCTGGAATATTTTGTCAAGCTGAATAAGGTATGTTTGTATTCTCAAATGTGCGTGAAGCAAATGTTAAAATGGTGGCAGTGTTTTGCACCAGAGCCATGCTTTAAAATTTAATCAAGTGTTGAGTATAGAAGAAATCAAACATAAATACTAAACGTTGCTTAAGTTCTCTATGTGAACTGTCAGTCATAATTTGATCAGGGCAATCTATGGGGGTGTGCTTTGAGCAGTGACTCTCAACCTGTGGGTCGGGACTCCTCCCTGCATGTCACATATTTACATTATTATTCATAATATCAGCAAAGTTACAGTTACAAAGTAGCAACAAAATAATTTTATGGTTGGCATCATCACAAAATGAGGAACCATATTAAAGGGTCACAGCATTTGGAAGGTTGAGAACCATTGGTTTAGAGATTTTTTTGTAATGTTTTGGTTTAGAGATTTAAGATAGCAGAATTCAGCTTCTTTAACAGTTAAGACTAAAACCCAAGATGAAAGGTAGTAAAAATCACTAGGTGGTGGTGGTGGTGGTGGTGTATGCCTTTAATCCCAGCACTTTGGAGGCAGAGGCAGGCAATCTCTGAGTTTGAGGCCAGCCTGGTCTACAGAGTGAGTTCTGGGAACTCACAGAGAAACCCTGTCTGGAAAAACCATAGAAAGGTAACAAAAACCATCTGATGTTTAACAGTTGGATTTCAACAGACATCTCTCTAGAGATAGTGCTACATTGTGTGTCTATCAGTCACTTCTGGAGGCTGGTAAGGTTGTACATCTGCTAACGTTGACTCTTCCAGGGTACGCAAAGAATAAAGCAGTGTTTACACACTGGATTAAGCAGGTGCTTATCTTTATCTAATGATAACATCTAAATATAAACAAAGAATGTCTTTCCGTCATGCCCAGCACAAAGTGGGTATTTGCCGAGGAGCCGACACAGACCCAAAGAGTCATTATTGACATCAATGTGCCAAAGGGATGCTCTGCACCAGTGGTCCTCAGGCTACCAGCCCCATCCTCATCTGGGAATGTGTTAGAATTTCCAATTCCCAGGTCCAATCCTAGACTTACTAAAAACAGGGTATCTGGGATCCAGGCCAACATAGCTGTGTTTTAATAAGCCCTACAGGGGTTCCTAGGAATTGAGAAACGCTATGCTACATAATTACTGTGGAAACTCTTGTCATAAGAGGCCAATTTATTATGGCCCCACTCCTTGGCGCCAGTCCTACCCATGTAAATGAGTTCATGACATTGGAGGGTGCTTGAGAGCTGTAAGAAAGAACCGAAAAGGACTTGCAGTACTCAACGGTGTTCAAGGTTAGGAAAAGCAGCTGCTCTGAGGGTATCTGCAGGACTCCCCAAATGCACTACTGTGTTTTAATCTCTAGACTGACTTTCCCTCCTGTGGGAATATGTAAACGTGTATCTATAAACCAGGCTATGGGAGTTTTTTTTAACACTTTGCATCAGTTCCCAAATTCTCAGCTAAACTATTAACAGGAAATGTGTGTGTTTGTAGCGCTGGATTTTGGGAGCAAGGACCCCATAGAAAGTTCTTAAAGGGATCCATCTTCTCTGTGCATTTTCTCTGGATTTTATTTTTAGGATGCACCATCTGTCTCTAGACCAGAGAAAGCAGGTGCTCGGAATCTGGGCAGCTCCTAGTAGCAGATTTCTCCTTGTGGTGACAGAAGTCTGCATTTGGCTGTTTAAAATAAAGATGAAAGTGCCTGCCTCCTCAAAGTACCCAGGTCTCTCTGCTGGCCCTGATAGGAGGAAGGAGAACCAATTCTTCTGCATCCGTATTTTGGATGCTATTGTGGGATGGAGGACTAGATGAGTGATGTCTTCATATTGAAAGTGGATGCTTTCGATGGCTTTTATGACAATCGGCAGGTGCATAGGAATTTATTAGCTGTTTTAAATGATACAATCTAATAAACAAAGCTGAGCGCCTAAGCAAACTGTTTAATAGACACTAATTTTAATCGATGGCATTGTTTTTTTGATGCTGAATTGTTGGTTCTTATTCAGGGGTCAAAGAGTTAGTTCTTAATGATTGTGTTGGGTGAACATTCATGAGGCTCAAGGACTCAGCCCTAACTGAGCTGGGTCTTCTCCACCATGGGATGGATCCAGGTGGCTGGTTGCCTATGACCTCATGATAGAGATACAGGCTAATTTCTCAGGCAAGTGACAAGTTCTGATGAGCTGTCCTGAGATCGTCACTGGGGGCTTCACAGCTTTGTCACAGCACTGCAGCCCTCTACAGTAAGAGACAGCTTCCTGGTAATCAAACATTGTAACTTGATAAGCTACAATAAGGTTTGTGCCTAAGAACAAAAACATTACTCGGACATTTAACATACAGAAAGATGTTCCCCTTCAATGCCCTTTTGAAGGCGTTCTGTAAAAATTTAAAGGATAAGGATACATTGCTTTGGAAGACTGATGCTAGGTGGATACAGGAGAGTATTTGTTTTTGTTAATGAAGCAAAGCTAACAAAACAAAAACTTGGGAATTTTATTGAAAGAATTTCTTCCCGTTCCTTACCTCCAAAGGAAATAATTAGAATCTGCTGCTAAATCTTTCAGTATTTATCTCACAACAGTGAGATGACATGGGTATGTGCCTGTCTGAGCTAGGGGTGGGGGCTGGGGACCACCTGGCATCTCCTCTGCCTTTGAGGGTGGAAACAAGTCACAGTAGGAGATGCCACCTGAGGAATGGTCCCTTCAGCCAGGTCTGAAGCTCGGTGTGGAGCGCCCTTGCCTCTCACTTTCTGCTATAGTCCTCTTCATATGGGCTTAGTGGACCTGAGAACCTGCCCAGGGTATCCCCCCCTTACAATATATGTTATGGAACTCACATAGACTCTCTTATACATTGAGACCATCCTCAGGTGTGTCTTTGTTATAGCAACCTTTTCATTTTAGCATAGGGTAAGCATGGGTGAATAGGACAGCATGTCCGTTTTAAGGAGCAAAGTGGGGGAGGGGATTAGACATTGGGCTTTGTTAAGTGATCCGTGTTCTGGTCAAAACCACTGAGGAAGTAGAGAAAGAGAAAATGTAAAATAGGAATCTTCTATTGCTAGTACAGCTCCTTCCCTGGCACTGGCTTGCAAGAAACACGCGCGCACGCACACACACACACACACACACATTTTGAGGTGATCATTGAGGTGGCCAATGTAATGGTCAGCAGAGTGGTCTCTGTTGTGGTCAGCTGTAGTGACCACTGTGATAGTCAATCATAGTGTCAGTGAGACACACTCACATTCACACATATACGCACATGCTTGTCCAAACACACATAGGCACACACATAGTCACAGACACATTCACACACACACTCATGCACACTCACATGCACAAACATAGGCATATATCCACACACACACATCATACACTCTAACACACAGATGCATTCACTGATGCACGCACTCACACATGCATGCTCACATCTCTCTCATACACTCACACATACTTACAAACATACATGTACAGATAGACACACATTCACATATACATGCACACTCAAAAACACAAACCCATTTTCACACACTCATACAGAATGCCCTTAAACACGTTCACACATGTACTCATTCACGTATACTTATCACTCACATACATGCGAACACTCAAAAACACACAATACACTCACACCATGCTCATTCACATATACTCATCACTTACACTCAAACACTTACACACAAGCAAATACACACTCACTCATGAACACTCACACACACTCATCCACATGCACACTCAAAAACATACATACACATTCCTACTCACACACATGTACACATATGCTCAAACACACACAAGTACACACGTACTCTGTCACACTGACACACACATTTACACAGTCTCACACAGTGCACATTCAAAAACAAATGCACAGCTCCCAAACACTCTCATAATGCATATACTCACACACACACACACACACACACGCACATACACCGAGACACACACATCACACATATACATATTCACAGTCACACACATTCACATACACACACAGACACTCACACATGCACACATGCAGACTCATACTCATACACATGCACATTCACATGTACGCACCCTCACAGGCACACTCACAAGCACACACACACATACACACGCATCCACTTAGCAAACTTTGATTAAATACCGTTTATGCATCTTGCTAAGCCCCAGATTAAAGATACACTTCTGATGCCTCTCAGAACTCAAGAAGCTTGAATTTTTCAGGAAGTACGGCTGTATTCTGAAAATACCGTTCTCCACGAGGTGGGGCCAGCAATGGTGCACAGCACCGCCATCTCGTGGAAGTGAGCGGTAGCACCCCAAAGGAAGAAAGAATTTCAAACCAGCACAATAGGTCAACCCGATCAAAAACTTGCTTTTTAAAATCTAGCTAAGCGTCCTCTAGCAAAAAGCAAGTCTTACCATTGTTCTTCATGGCATTTTGATTCATCCCAAAATAAGTTTATGTGGGGAGAAAATCGTCAGCATTTGGTTAATACCGGAAATGGAACAATGCGTTATTCTATCACAAGCAAAGGGAAAGCAGCTGCTTCAGGACGCCTTAGACATTCATGGAATTTCTCTCCTGCAATTACTGAACCTCTATTCATTTCTAGAGCCGGGGAGAGTTAAGTGCCAAGAGGGGCATGCTTAGGTAGAGCAGATTTTTCTTCTTACATACTTATTCTCCTACACTCCCACCCCTGCCTGCTGTCTTGATATTTTGGCCAGCAAGTTAGAAGGCAATGCTGATTCCAGGGGCCAGTGGTAAACAAGTATAAAACACTTACCACGAGGCTGACAACACCCTATGAATTTGGTACACATTAGCTACATCTGCTCTCCAAGACAGGGACTTCCACGTGCCAAATTGACCTCATACTGACCTATGGCCGAGGGTAACCTTGAACCCCATATGACCACCTTCTGATTATGTGATGTGGGGACCAAGCCAAGGGCTTCATGCATGCTAAGCAAACACTTAGCAGCTGAGCTATACCCAAAGC